TTCATGAGCTGTAGGCTGACAAACTGTCAAATTGCAGCAGGTCCATCCACTCACATTTTACAGCTGAGGATGTGACACACTGAAACACTAAGCAGCTTGGCCAGAGTCACCCGTGAAGCCTGTGGCAGACCTGTGAACATACTTTCAGAGATGCAGGTTGGTGCCACAAGGGCTAGATGGCCCCTTCTTGGAACATGATCAGACAAAAGTAATTTCCCCTGGTGCTGTGAGCAGGGTGGTTGGTGGGAGCAAAATTGTGTCAGTCAGGTTCATGGTGTCACTCTGCAGGAAACAAATGCCTCTGGGAGCTGAGACAGAGATGTGATGAGCAGGGGCAATTCAGGGACAACAGAGGGAAAAAGATTAAGTAGGAGACACGGGAATAAAGGTAATGATGGAGGAAAGCCAGAAAGGAAACCGAAGAGGAAACAAACCATATACAGAGTGAAGGAGCTTGAAACAATCAGTCAAGGGATTTTTTAAGTAACTATCTTGTGGCTACCTATGCTGTGCTTAGAGTGGCTGAGTTCCCAGTCTGACAGGCCTCAGGACTAAAGAACAAAGGGGGCTTCTCCGAGATCAGAGGTTTTTTTTACCTTCTCACAAACCATCAAACTAATGGGGAGGAAGAATAGCCAACTCTTGCTAACATCACTGTACAAATCTGGGAGTGAGGACGGCTCTGCACCACATAGTCTGAGCATGCCTCACCATACTCCACCAGGACTTCAGTACTGGTCCCACGCTGCCCCACCACTGACAGTTCAGACTCCAAATATATAGCAGAGGATCCTCCACTGTCCTTCATTCCCCTCCTTTCCATTCTTGAGACTAGATACAAATCTGTGCTCGTGTAGTTTTATATACATGTGGAGTTTTCTGCAGGTAGAGGTTAAGACAAGGGCTTAAGAGGCATCAGTGTCCCTGCACTTACTCACTTCAGTAGGGTTAACATCACAGTATTAAATGCCACTCCCCAGTGCAGTCTTATGCACAGAGAAGGCACTGCCTTCTCCCAGACAGAAAGCTCAGTAGGGAGCATCCTCTTAGCACCTTGCACTGGTGGGCAATACCTTGAATGGCAAAATTTCTGCTTTCCCCCAAGCACTGGCAAATTCTACACCACAAGATTTTTCTGCATTGCCACATTTTTGAATTGGAGCCTTAAATTCCAAGAAATATCATATTTATTAAAGATCACAGTTCACTAACAATCATTCCGAAGATCTGTATGCCCCTGGTTGGTAGCAAAAACCAAACTACTGTGGTTTTAGATTAAACCCTCATTTTAAGAACAAAAGCCAGGGAAGAGAAGGGGCAGCTGTACTCAAGAAAGGAGTATGTCTTTAGCTATGTGTCAGCTTCTCACAGCTCACTGTCTGATCTCCTACACTATTGGAACCAAGAAGGGAGAAAATAAGCTCCGAACAATTATTCTTCCTTGATCTGAATGAAATCTTTTATATGTTTGTGCCTGTTGAAAGTTTGTTTCAATTCCCTTCTCCAACCCCTCAAGGCAGTACAGAGAGGATGAAGTAACAATAAAATGATTCATTAGTAGAATTTGGTTCTACTGTACAGAAAAAAAACAAACAAGCAGTCAACCTGAGCAAAAGTGCAGTAGTGTCAAGTAAACGTATACGTGCTATTTATTGTAAAAGACCGTGCAACTGGACAGTGCTTAGTTTGCTTCCCATGACCAACAGATCCTTGCTGACCAGTAGGAGTATTGGTATACAACAGCATGAGTTAAGATGCATTCTTCTTCTTTTAGTTTTTTTCTTAATTCAAAGTCCATAAGAACAATCTACATTGGGAGATGAGCAAACAAAAAAGGCTGTTCTGCAAGATTTCCTGTTCTGTGATGCATGGGTAATTGACCTATATTTGTGACCCCATTTTTCTTTCAGGTTTGTAGCTGTACTGCAGAGACTCTATCCTTTGACTGAAAGTCTGAAGGAGTGGGAATGGCCAATGCTGGCTACAGACTGAGCCTTAAATGAGGTGAATGACTCCCTAACATGCATGTGTTCTAGCTTCTACATGGCCTTAAGCATGAACCAAACCTTAAATGCTGCTCTTCAACAAAGAAGACACAGAAAGAGACAAACAGCCTTGCTGCCTCAGGCACCTCTTTGTGAATTGCACTCAAACCTGAGCTGCCTGGCACAGCCAGAGCCCAGGGCAGGGTGGGACAGGCTGTTGCTGGCTGTAGTGGTGAACAAGCTGTGGCACAGCGAGAGGACCTCTGCGGTTCTACTCCCACTCATTAAAAAGGGAGAGGGGAGTGACTGACAATTATGAAGCTCCCTCTAAAAATCATGTGTTTCACAGGCTCTTTACATGGTTTGCACTGAAATAAGCTGCACCTGCTTTGTGCACTGCTAGAGCTGTAGGGTTACAAGGTACTTCTGTTACACAAAAAACAGTAGACCAGAGCTGTGAGATCATATAGTCTATATGAGCTACTACACACACGCATCTCTTAACCTTTTCCCAACAAACAGATTTTCTAGCACATTCCCTACACCACCAGACCACAGCCAAACTTAAAGTCCACCTTCCAAACTCTTCTTTACAAATGGGATTATGACTTCCTTCTTCAAAATCAAAGCGCTCCTCAAAGTTAATCTCTAACATGGTGCTGTTATTTCTTCAGATTTTTAATTTTTTTTAAACTCAAATAAATCCTTGCAGCTGCTTCTCCCTGCTCTAAACTGCCCAAACTGGTATCTGCTTCACTATCAAGAACATGGCCATGTGCCCTAGGGAAGGAAGAACAGCTTCAGTCATCCTTTTGTCAATGCAAAGGGAGTTTCCTGCACCAAGACACCACTGGTGCTGGCTGCCAGCAGTTACTGTTTCAGTCAATTTTAGATAACTTGCTCTCTGCTACCACCCATTGCCTTCTCAGCTTCACTGTTCTCAGTTCATGCATGTGTGCTTGATTTTATTTTCTTTGTATAAACTGGATTATCTTGAGTTCTTTCAAAGTGGTACTTGGCACTGCTGAAGTAGTTTCTTGCTATGAAGGTGCATGTGATACTTCTACAGGGCAACTGTGCGAATGACCTGATTTTACTACCTGGTATCTGTTGTGGTTTCCCCCCAGCACTGAGCAATTGAAACGAACACCTAAAAGCTGTTAAGAAATTGAAAAACAACTTACAGCTTGTTTTTAAACTTAGACCCAAGTGTAAGGATCAGCTGCAGTTACTCACACGGTGCATTATTCGATTACTTTTTAAGTCCACATTTTCCAAGAGATTTCTTTAAACATATAAGGTTTAAAAGCTTACCATTTTTATGTTGGCGGGGAGGCTCAGACATACATACACGATCTATGAGATCTAAAATATGTCCGATTTATTAGGATAGCTCAGGGTTTTTACAGCATCTGTATACAAGGTCTCGTGACAAGAAGCACATAATTGGTTACAGGTCACTGTCCAGATGTAAACATGCATTACAAATACCTTTATAATTGGTTATTAACAGGTAACAAGGCAATTATTTACTTTATCAAACTCCACCTTCTTCTTGGCACAGATTTCCTTTTGTTCTAGCAAAGACACCCGCGGCCATCTTGACACCTATAACTTATAGTGCTTATAAAACTATATGAAAGTTTATAAAAGTCTATAAAAGTACCTCACACAATATAAATTGCTCACACATTCATCATGTTCCTCCCACATTTTTACTGCAGTAAAACTGTTTCTACAGGCAAACAAGGTAGTTTGCACACAGAGGCAGCGAGATGAAGCCCGTCTATCCTCATAATAACTAATCTCCCATATAAAGGTAGAATCGTCAAATAATTTGGATTGAAAAGGCTCTCTGGAGGTCCAGCCTCCTGCTCAAAGCAGATCTAACTTCAAAGCTCAATCAAGTGGCTCTCGGTCTGTCCATTTGAGTTTTGAAAATTTCCAGCGATGGAGAGTTCACAATCTCTTTAGGTCCTGGTCTAAGTCTTGGACCATTTTCATGGTGATTTTTTTTAGATTTTTATTTCATATATGCAGCTGGAATTTCTCTCAATGCAATTTGACTGTTCTTTTACTTCTTTGGGCACGTCTAGGAAGAGTCTAGATCTCTTTTTCATATGGCCCATCATGGGCATGGAAGTCCACAGCTTAACCACCCACCTTTACCTTCTCTTCTATAGGGAGAATAGTCCCAGCTCTTCGCAGATGACATGCTCCAGCCTCATCACCATCCTCTAGCCCCTCAACTGGACTGTATCTTGTTGGCATCTCTTGTACCAGGGGAGCCCAAACTGAACACAGTACTCCAGGAGGGGAACCAACCGCTTCTCTCAGTCTGCACACTGACTCATGCTTCCAGATTTTCACTTTTCACAGCTGCACTCAGGCCCTTTTCTGCAAAGCTTCTTTTTATCCAGCCTACCTGCCCTCAATTTGGTTACATAGATGCTTTGAGAGACTTTGGCTAAAGCAAAGGAAAGTTACATCCACTATTGCCCTCAAAGCCACAATGGTTCACAGAAATGTTCCCAGACAGAGCTCTGATTGTTAATTCTAACAGACATCTGAGGTGAGGTACTCCGCTGCATTAGGTCTTTCAGGGAGAATCCTAATGTGAAATACTAAACAGTAGGGTTGGAACTGTACAGTGAAACAAGGATTCAAGGGAGCTTAACTTGTCAGTTATATTTAAATACCTCTAACAATGGAAAACAAGACAAAATTTTGACAAAGCCAAAAGAATAATCAAGACTTATTTTTTTTTTCCTTTGTTGAATCATAAACCATTTGACAACTTGGGTTGACATTCAGTAACCTAATTCAGTCAAGTCTTAGACTTTAGGATTCATCATCAGGAATTGCAAGTTCTTCTGGGTTTAGAAGAATTCTCAATTGCAGACTGGACTAACTCCAAAAAAAAAGCATTTTTCATGAAAACCCCTCAAATCCCATAGAGTTTCCTGAATTTGTTTAAGTGTTAAGATTTCTGGTTCAAGAAGTTTAAAGACACAATTCAGCCAGCACAATAGCTTTATTTTACAATTTGAATTATTATACACAATTCAGTAAAAGCTCACAGGAGGAACAGCACGGAGACTTACCACTTTTTGGTATTTCCTTTAATTAGAGCCAAAGTGCAAGGCCTGCCATTAACTTCCAAGGTAAGAGAACACAGCTGTTAACAAAAGTCATATTAACACTTAAAATATCTTTTGTTTTTGAAAAGGCCACATCTTCAAATGCTATTAGAAATAATTTAATAAACTTTTTGTTTTGTTTGGTATGATAAATTGCCACATATCCTACAGCTAACAGGTAATGGTACATCATGGTTTCCAAGACACGTAAAAAAACCAAACAACACTGTCTCTGCTTTATTCCATACACCTTAAAAAAGGATGCCAGAAAACAATTGTTCCCAGGTGTTCATGTGGAATTTTATTTCCTTCAGATATGCTGTTGCTCTTAAAAAAATAAAATTAAAAAAAAAAAAAAAAAAAAAGAAAAAAAAAGGGAAAAAAAATCCCAAATCAAACTTTTCATATATAGTATCTTGAGGCACAGGTTCCCCTATCCATAAAGAATTTTTTACACAGGCTGTATCATATAACATTGTTGCTATCTGAAGTCTATGGCACATTGACTTTTTGGGGTGAAAAAAATTCTCCTCTGTGTTCAGCTGCTACAATATGGCACAAAGTTAAAAGTTACCACCATGACCAAATATTCTGATGCTTTTTTGCTGGCTATTTTGGGGTGCACATAAATAAAAGGCACACTTTTTCTCTCCTCTCAAATCATTTATGTAATGTACAAGCCTAAGTTCCCAGCACTGCTCCAGGCCTGCTGGCCCAGTGCAACAAAAGATTTAAGTCAGCTTCCAGTGCTAGTAGCAGCTTTATATGCTTAACCAATGGCTTTAGTTTAGCATGCTACTTCCACTGTGGTGATCACTGATGACAGGCCAACAGTGTTCCTGAAAAAAAAAATTACAAAGTCTAAAAAAAGAAAAAAAGTTAAAATTAAATTATTTATATTCAGTTACATGTCTAGTTTCCAAATGTGTTCACAATGTTCAGAAAGTGCACATTTTGAAGTCTTGTTTCAGTATTACAAATGTCCATGACCTATATATTACAGCAGCGCCATGTACAGTATTGTTAAAGAACTGTCAACGTTTCCATTACTGACCCTGTTTTGCAAGAGTATCGTGAAAATACAAGAATTTGCTCTCAGCTAGAACTTAGTGTCCGTAATGTTTTCAGTATGGTATTTTTAAATATTTGCAATTACTTCTGTACAGCACTCAGAATCTGAATAGCAGAGGGTTAGTGGTTTCACTTTTTGGCGCTCATTTACTTAACAAGGATTTTCAAGAATGAAAGTAAACTTACAGCATATGAAGAGCCCTCGATAATAAAAGCTCCACAATGCATTACCACACTGTTAAAAACTTAAGAAAACCCATTAAAAACTTATGAAAACCCATTAAGATTTAGTTAATGATTTGTGAATTCTTATAAAATTATTTTTCGTGATTTAACAACAGATAACATTGAAGAAATTATCATACATAAAAACAGCTTAGGTCTTAACATCAATGGTCTGACAAACATTTAAAAAAGAATATTCTGAGTTAAGCCTAGTGCTAAATTTAGCTCCTAAATATGGCTAAATTTAGATTTAAGAGTTTAGATACTCTCAGTTTGATATGCCTTTACGAAAGCTAAAGTCCAACTTTCAGAAGAATCTGTAAAACAGCAGTTTCAAGTAAGTCTGGAGTAATTAGGTATTGTGGCTAGAGTTACCATAAATACGTACTATATGTTGACTTGATAAAATTGTGTTAAACGATGTGTGAGTTGAACCACTACCTTTGAAGGTTCTTGCTTTGGTTATCTTTAAAAAAAAAAAAAAAATTGAGCTGTTAAAATAACAGTGCAAGTTCACTGTAAAACCACATGCCTCTTTCTTGATGTTCTATCAACTGGTTTTTATTATGCCCACTGCCAGCAATGGACATTTGGCTTGGAAAATCCACCTCCTGCTGTAAAAGGTTTGGCTGAACCAAATGAAGAAAGTAATTCTGATATCAGACTCAAATGGGAACACACTGTTTCATTTAGTTCTTGTAAAGAATATTTAAATGCCTTCTCCATCTACAGTCTTTTTGAAACACAAGGCACAAGTAGGGAGTGGACATTCCAGCAAAAAGTGATTGTCTGAAATTAATAGTCCACAGCAGTCTTCTAGTCCAGCACAATGAAAGATTTCTTGCTGTCCAGTTCTATGCCACGTCTTCTAGATAATCTGCAACGTCACTTAACTGAGAAATGGTAAGGTCTTGTGTGATGCTTTCGAGCTAGAAAACAAATACAATTGCCAACTCAGAAACCACAAAAACAGTATTACGTCGTGTAGTCCTTCATAGAGCAACCCATCCTCTGGGCCTCAAGCTCTTTCAGTGAGATTTCAGAATCCTTTAGGAGATGCTCAGACGGATCATGAGATAATGGGGTTAAGACTTTTGTGTGCTGGGTACTAAACCAGCCTCAAATACATTTTATAAGCCTAGAAAAAGACAGTGAATTGTGTTGCTGAACAACCATGTGGGGATTTTGTTTTGTTGGGGGTTTTTTAATCACTATAATATCTCACTTGGCAGGGATACTAGCTGTAAAAATACAGAATGCAACAAATAATGCAACCTTAACATATTACCTAGGAATGTAGGATAATGGCATATTACTTCACAAAAGGCTAAAAATAAATTCAAGACAAGATAAGAAGACTATCAAGAACAACAATTTAAAAGTAATCATACTTTATCACTGGCATTTGACTCTTCTGTTCCCACAGAAATTTCGTCTATTTCTTCACCGATACTGATATCACTTTTTTCTGAGCGGTGACTAGTACTAAAGAGAAAGAAAAAAAACCATAATCATAGAAATGTCATTTTCAAACATCCACGTATGACATTCACTTCATACCTGACATTTGGTTGAGATTTCATTTCCTAGCAAGTTAAATGTGTAGTTACTTAAAACCCCGTAACAACTAATGGCTTTCTATCTCAATGAAACTATGATAAATAGGATGAGGTTGCTAAGTATTTATTACTGAGCACTCACAATGCTTTAATTTCCAGTTAAATATTTCAGCATATAACAAAATCATTGACTAATAGAATTAATTAAAGTGTTAAAACATTGTTAAGTGCATGGTTCAGGAAAAAAAAAAATCTCAAATCCCTTTCCCAGAAGATGAACAAAGTATCATCTTAAAGTTAACACTAGGTTTTTAAGGAACTCGTTACCCCTATACAGAAAGGGACCTCTTTGTTGGTTTCTGAACTCGTAATTAAATCTATTAAAATAGTAATTGAAGTTTAAAGGTTCCAGCAATAGTGACTGTCTGAAATATTATGAAATAATTCAAATTACAGGTGGATATGCTTAATGCTACTGAGGTATTATCCTTCTCTTACCTGTTGAAGTCATCAGCATATTCATCATCATCTCCGTTTCCTAAAAAAGTTTTAAAAGCTATTAATCAAACAAGTTTTCCTTTTGGGAAATGCAAAATAAAGAATCTATTCCTGCACCAAAATACATGGTTTAATGACCAGAAAAAGTGGGAGTAGATTAAATTACTTGTGCAGATCAGAGAGATGAGTTATGTTTGTCCTTAATTGATCTCAATACTGTTAACACAAACTGTTTCAAAACTGAACATACATTTTCAGGGTGCTGACTACGTTGCTGAATACAAAAGTTAAATACTTGGAAGCTCTATTTTGAAAGAATGCTGACTGTTCTTCTATCACATCTTCTTCATATTGCACCTAAAGCTAACAAGGCAACTTTTGTGGAGGGCAAATAAATATGCAACTGAAAACCAGTAGTACTTATCAGGCTATCTTTTACCACAAATATAACCCCCTTCTTTTTGTGGAAACCTAGACAACAAAATTTATCACTTGATATTAGCAAATGTTTGCACAGAATGAATCAAATTTTTGTTCCATGTGTAAAATACTAATCCACAAGACACATCTTCACAATGGTGTCAAACAGAATGTCAGAAGTAAAAGCTGAAGATTTTAAATCAATGTGTACTTCAGTTTCTCAGATTGCTCTAAGAAGCTGGGCAAGAATTTACAATTAAAAATATCAGAGCTTCCTAATGTTTATCAGTTACTTACCTAATTCTAGTGATCCCAGTTTTGCATTCACCAACCGCAGGTCTTTCAAAACAGAGTTTTTATTCAAATCTGTAAACAAAAGCATTTATATGAGAAATCTGACTTGTAACTCTTCAATAAGATCCCACTTAAACATATCAATCAACCACTTATAACAACTTTCTTTTATAACAACCTTATATACTTTAATAGTATAATACGGCAACATTATATTAAATTTTCAGGTGTGAACTCATAACATTTAAAAACATGAGTAGTAAACAGGGATAATCTCCCAGTACTCGAGATCAGGTTTTACAACACGAAAGGAAATACCCCTAAAGCACTGGAGCAAATAATGTAAGATAAAACAAAGGAGTAAGTCAATTTCAGTTAACAACTGAGCAGTAGAATTACATACTCATAAAAACTGCTTTATATACACACAATAAAAGGAATGTAGAAAAGTATTTCATGCTCCAAAACATAAAATGCCTCAGTGGTAGCATAATATATCAAAACCAGTGTGCAATCACTCAGTAAAGAAAGCATGACTTTAAAGCACATTACAAACAGAAGGGGGCCACATACTCTATCACATTTCCATCTGAATGTGTAGCTCACTCATTATAGGAAATATCTTCTACAATCATCAAAAGACAAAACCATGAAAACTTACTATCAGACTCCTTTATCAAAGGTGCACCAGTCAGGGAGCTTAACCCACTTTTTAGAGGTGGTGCATCAGAAAGAGATGCTAGACCTCCTGCTTTACTGGCTTCCGTTTTCCTAAAACAAACCAAATAAATAAGTACTCCACAGAGCTGTAAAATGTGTGTAGTTAATTTCTTTTCTATTATTAAATTGTCATAAAACTAGAACAGCAATATTACGGCAAAAAAGAGCAAGGGGACAGGACTATTCATTCTGCAATCTTAAAAACAGTAAACCATTTACTGGTACAAGTGCCAAGCACAACATCCACTATGAAAGTCACTTTCTCACCCACGCAAAGACTTCCTCCTATCTTCTCTCACAGAGAGAGCTCCTGCACCTTCATCAGCATCACTATTTTTATCAAGAGACCTTTCATTATTCCCACATGTAAATGCAGCCAAAAGAAGAAAGATTCAGGTATAAATTAGAACTTACTTTAGTTTGTTTTACAACTAAAAGATACTATGTCTGATGAAGATATTAATTCTAAGAGCAATCAGTTCACAGAATGAAAACCTCTCATTTATAGGAAGATAGATCTCATTATCACATGTATAAGTTGACCTGGTTACTACCTAGTTCAAATCCTACTTGCAAGCAAAGGATGAAGAAACACATATTAAAGGAGACCAAGATTTTCATATTTAGTATTGCCAGAACATTGCTACTGTGATTCCATTCCTATAATAATGGACAACATTTGATTCACTCATTGCATCTAGAGCACCAAAACATCACGTGTAACATCACACATTGAAGTGCTTCAAAAGTTTGAACTACGGGTCAGAGACCTAGAGCCACTGAGTACTTGGATCATCTCTCACACTCTCATTAGTAACCGCTTGCTCCCTTCCTCTCCAGTACACTCATCTTACAGGAGTGGGCAAGGCTCCCATGAGGAAATTACCTTATTGCAAACCAAGCGATGCTGGTGCCTCTCCTACTTATTTACCCCTTGGGACTCGAGCACACCAGCACAAGATACCACAAAAGAATTTCACCTGAAGAGTACGTTCTTTTTTCTCCTCTAGAGGAGTTGTCAGGAGAGTAGAAGTGAAGAGATTCAGCAGAGACAGCTTAGTTACAACCAGATTCTAGCTCATTTGTTATTAACATATTCAGCAAGCCTTATTATGGGATCTTACTAGAATACATACATCACAATAACATCATGCATTACAAATTACTACTTGGTGGACTGTGACTCTGCCACAGACACACAAAATTCGGAAATAATTTTTTCTGTAGGGAATTTCCCTGCTAGGAAAAAAAAATCCTTACTTTACAAAATAATTAGAGTCTCTTTCTTGGATGGTCTTTTAAAAGAAATCCAGTTCACCCAGTTTCAAAGTGAATTTTCCTTCTTGTCATATGAAAATGCTCAAATATTAAGAAATTAGTAAATATTATTATGCAGGAGTTTTTCCAGGCTTTTCTAAGTGTCCCAACTTATCATTTAAACCACCTGCTACAACGCTTACTTTAGTTAAAGGCTAGTCAAATGAGCTCTTGAGTAAGGAGGAGTAAATGCAATCATATACAGTTGTAATCTTTATATTAACAATAAGAAAAAGAGAAAATTAATACCACACAATATTTTCCAAACAAAAATCACTGCTCTTTGAGGAAAAAAAATTTGCTTCAACTAAAGCTGTATTATAAACAACCTTCCTCAAAGAGTCCATTAATTTACTAGAAAGAGACCTAGTTTACCTGGGATAATTGCTTTGTGCTGTACCAGAAGGATCCCATTCTAAGAGTAAACATCTACTGAAGTAATAATACGAAAAAGCTTATGGTGCTCTGCCCACTGTCACCATAGTTGGGGGAAGAAAGCCAACATGAGGGGAGTTACTTCCAAACTGACTTACAAATAATTCTGCAATGTCTTCTTAAACTCTAAGGTGGAGCAATTCTCTGATTACTTGAGCACAGCAAAAAGAAAACCATGAAATAATCCTGCAGCATTTCTTAATAGTGATATCTAAACTAGGCTTCAAGATAACTCAACATGATAACACAAAGATAGGTTTTTCAGTTTTATAACAAAGCTGTTGTATAGCTCTGTTTCAAACGATATTTTTCAGTCATCAAACTCCACAGATGAACAACAAAAAATGTGCTTCAGATGCATCTGCAAAATTGGCATATGCAGAACAAACAACACTTCACTGAAAACTTTACTGCACACAAAAGGTGTTGTAACATGAAGAGGAAACCCTCAGCTGTGAGAAAACTCTTCCTACTATTACAGTTTATGGAGCCAGTTTATACTGATTTTTGTCCCCCTTACAAAGCCATACACAGATATTTAAAGCACTATCCCTGTCACTGTCCACTTCTCTTAGTCCAGATCACCACTGCAGCTCTGTTGCAAGAAGAAACACTGCTGCCTGTGCCTCATACATGTTTATTCCACCAAAGAAATTGGCTGTGAACATTTTATAGCCTCACTGATGCACCCTGAAGCAATACGGGTTTTTCCACTCAAGGTACATCCCAAGAGATCCCAGAGGACACTGTGCATTTCAAAGAATAGTCAGAGAAATGCAAATTTCAGAAATAAAATGTTACAGAACAGATCTAAACACTTGCACTTACAAGTGTAAATGATCAAATAACAACTAGCTCTCAAAGGTCTGCAAGTATAGTGAGGACAAAACAAACCTGGTATTATGTAGAACATTCATGTTACCTACCAGCCATAAGTTCTTTCTGGTTTGGGTATAGGATCATCAAAGAAAGAGTCTCCTTCTACATCATCTTCATCCACAGCTGCATCACTCTTTTCTTTGGTATTCAAGTCTTTGTTTTCTAGTTGAGGATCTAGTTTTGCTTCATTAGGCAGAAAATGAATGCTTCTTTTGCTTGTGTCCCCTGATGAGACACTAGTATCACTCTGAGTGTTTTCAGCAGCCTTGAAAGATAAAGAATGAAAGGAATAAGTATTTATGTCTTGTAATACTCTAAGTGGTAATATAAACACACAACACATAATATATAACCACCGTCACTTTTTAAAATGTTAGCTCAAATTCCTGAGAAGTACTAATAAATTTATTAGTATCATCAAGAATCACACAGGAGAAAAAAGTTGTTTTATCACTTTAGAAAGTGTTCTTTATTGTTGCTGCCATAAAAAAACTTCTGTTCCATCCTTTGCATTGCTATGCTATCTAGATCACTCCTATTATAAAAGTAAACAATTTTTAAATATTCAAAATTTTAAAACAATTTCAAATAAATCTACAGACAGACTGACTCTTGTGCTTTATTCATGTTATTTTTCAACTTGTCTATAAGCAAATCTTCTTAGTTACAGCCATTGCCTTCAAAAGAAATGCAAACTACTCTAACTTCCATATTAAATGGTAATCTCTGCAATATATTATTAAGTTTTAAAGTGATAAGCATAAGAAAACTGCAGTTACTGATACATTTTCCTTTCAAATACTAAAATCAAAAATGACACAAATGAGATACTTTAAAAGTACATAACTTCCAGTCTTTGTATCATGCTTATGGCTCAGACCTACAGTCTACAATGTAACGACAATTCCATAAGCTAACTTTAACATCAAGTCATACAACTCAAGTTGTAACTTTGCAAGGCTTTGTGGCCCAAAGAACAATATTCAGATTTACCTAGATAATCAAGCTGCTGTGAAAGAAAAAGATTTTTTTTTAATAGTATTTTTCTACCTAGCAAGGAATACTACTTTTATTTTCTCCTAGACCCATTAAAATTAAACCAGTAAAAAGATTCATTACATTAACTTCCTTTTTGCACACTAAAAACAGCACAGTTTTGAAACAAAACCAACAGTATTGTTTAATGCAGATACCCAACATGTAAGTTGTAAAGTCCCAAGTGTTTCTTTATCAGTAATTAACTTTCAATCAGAAGACTGAAGTAAAATTTTCAAATTATAGGCCACAGGAGTTAAAATTACCCTGGTGGGTCTTTTTCATACCAAGGCCATTTTATCTCAGCCACAGAATCACATTCAATTGCTGGCAGCAGCTCAGTTTTTTTAGGGCAAGAAGAACTACTCAAACCCATAAGTGGTAGTAACAACAATATTTTAATTTCGTATCCTTGAGGAACAGAATTGTTGTTGAAAATTAAGAGCTTAATGATAGCCTGATTAGAATAAAAGGGAAGCTACAGCTACTTCTCTGTTGTGGGCCCAGAGGCAGCAAGCTGCTGCTATGTCATCTGAGAACCTGCAAGCACAACACTTGGTCTTTGCTTGAATTCATAGATAAAAGTTTTGCTGAAGTGAAATAAATACTTTCAAATCGCAGATGATTTAAGTGAATGCCATCATATCATGTGTGTCATAGGAGTTCTCTCTTCTACTTCTCATGTATGTCATGAAGCTTTTCATTATATGTAAATAATCATACCTTATTTGGTATAGAATGTGTACTTGACCTTCCATCAGATGATTTTGATGTGGGGCACTGGCTATCACTTAGAACTGGAGCCACCTAGAAGTTTTACATAAACATTTATTAAAAAATATATTTAATTTTGTCATAATTTCATCCAACAAGAAACAAGGCTACCATTCTCACTTGCACAGTATGCAAACCGTGACACTGTCTGTGGGAAGATGACTTGGTGTAGAATAAGAGAAAATTGGGAAGTTATATTCACATTCTAACAGAAGTTACAACAGTATGGAAATTATAGGGTGAAATGCACGAAATACATTGCACAATGATTGCCCACACAACACACCCTGCAACCCCAAGTGCATGCTAAGAGGGATGAAACAGAGGGTGCAGCAGAGTGGAGATGCTGTGGTCAAGCTCTGTTGTAACTCTTGCAGGGAAGGGAACCCAGTGGTACCATGTAGCTGATAAATCACATAGCAGCTGTCAACCAAGGAAGAGAGGATATGTTGTCTTGCTGCTGAAGCAGCAACTGTGGTGAAATTGCTCTCCTCAGATGAATTCGGTTCTTTATAATCTAATTGTAATACTAACTCCATCTCAAAGTTACCCTCCGCCAAGGTACAACCACCCCTCACTGAGCACGCGCTCTATATTTTATTGACTATAAGTTAAAGAGTGAGTGATAAAATCTTACATCAATCAGTAACAAAAACATGTATGACTACAGTCACTCAAGCTCTACCTAAATGTAAAGTAATAGTATAAAAGTAAACTAAGATTGAGGAGAAGTTAGGGAAGACTCCACCATAACTTCTGGGGTCAGTTGATGGGCTGAACCTGTGTTCTCTCCCATTCAGTAAGAACCATATTCTATGGGTGCTAAATGATTATCTTGAGCTAGATATTGTTGGTGATTAGAGCTTGTTGGTGTTGTGCTTTAAATATGTTTTTGCAGTCAGTTGTTAACATGAGCAATCTTGCAACATTAACTTGCCAGAATTTTCTAATATCAGTGTTTTTATTAATAAAGTGTGTTATTCCACAAACTGTTTAGCATGAGTCCTTCAAGGGCGCTATCAGTTGCCAGTAGCAGATAACATATTTGACAAAGAGTGAGGAAACCCAAGAGAGTGTCTCCAAATCGTAATCAACTATTTGACTCCAATACGCTGTTGATGTGTGCCCCTGAACAAGCCAGTCAAACCGCCCTCTGATGCAGCAAGACTGTTCAGGGGAGCCCCGATAATGGGCAATGACTTTAAACTCCCCTGAAGCAGCTTAAGACTGTGCCCTCTTGTCCTACAGCTGGTTGCCTGGAAGAAGAAACTGATACTCACCTGGCTCCTCCTGGATCCATTCTGTGCTACTATGTTTTAGTAGAATATTAGTAAAGAGTACTAGGGTGGCATTAAAAGTAATAGAATAGTCATGATATTTATCTCTTATCTCTCTGATAAGTAGAGTTGAAGTCATAATATAGTAACAACTCAAAACAGGGTAATATAACAATAGCCAGGTGTTCTTAATTTCAGTTTATTTTTCATCATTGAAATGAAAATTAATAAATAATTACAAAGAAAGAAAAAAATTACATGTTAATACTACTTACTTCTCCATCGCCTGAAATCTTTTTCTGCTGACACTTCCTAACAACCTCCAACAACAGGGGACCACCCACAGTACCTTCTGCTTCTGTAATTCCCAAATCTCGAGCTAAGTTTTCTCGACCATCAAGACCATTTAGCTGAAGGAGAATTAAAAAAAGAATCACGACATAGAAATAACTGTCAGAAAACAAAATATACATTGTAATATAAAAAAAGCTTTTTGGTCTTATTTAACACAGCTTATAGTTTGAGTATCACTGATTTTATTTAAGACTTCGTATTGCACGGGGACTAAAGTAACAAAATCATAGAATCACTTAGGTTGGGAAAGACCCTTAATATCATTAGGTCCACTACTAAACCATATCCCTAAATGCCACACGTACACATCTTTTAGATACCACCTATTGCATAATTTACTTCAGATCTGTACCTGAACTTGTCACAGATCATGCAGAATTGTTTTAAATATGCAAGAATCTATCATTAGCATGCTGTCGCTGTTGGTCCCTCACAACTGAACTATACTTTTTGTCAAGTATATCTGCACAAAGTACTTTGTTTCAATGAAATTTCTCTTAGAATACATTACTGACATTATTTTAATTTTCATGCAACAATACTAACTTAATATTATGACATAGTAAAGTTAGCGGCAAAAAAGGTCACAGGAATGCTCTGATGCATACACTATTATATGATTCCACAAAAATCGTTAACTTGATAATTCATGATTATCGAGTATTGATTCTTAATAAAGGGAAATACTCATATTAGCACACTTTTCTGAAAAATGTGTTTTTATGACAATAAGTACCTTTTACAGACTAAACATAAAAAAGATGTATTTATTATAAAAAGAAGCAAGTGGTTTAAATAAAACTGTTACAGTTTTTCTATTTATTGTCATGCAGTCTGAACAGTCAGGATTGCATACAAACAAAACCAGTATATCTTACTGTGCTTGATTCAGGTTGAAAAACAGCCAACGTAAAATCAAGATTGAAAAACCGCAGAAATTCCGCAACAAGACCTGCTACCAAGCGACCTAAAAAGGAAATAAGAGTAAAAATACACCAGACAGAATTCTTACTTCAAAGATTTAACACTGACGTTGTTTCAGTATGAACATAATTTAGACATTCAGCAAACTAGTACCACATAGCAAATTTGTATACCAACTCCCAAAATTATTTAACTCACCCACTACATTAATAATGCTGCAAGAGCATAGAGATTGCCTACAAAATTCATGTGTAAGATTATTTTTTAAAACTATTCAGCTGTTTTTAAAACATAATTTTAACATTTCTCCTATGTGTTTATTCACTCCTGCACTTCTACAGTTAGTTTTCACTGAGTACTGTTTCTATTGGTCTAGAATGTCTCAGAGTTAGCACAACCATAAGTTATAACAAAATATGAATTTAAATGCATTAATCACCTTAGTTAAAAATGCAATTTCAACAATATTAACTTCAAATATTATAGATTGAGTTCTATTCCAAATGAAATGTAATTATGACATCTGAAAGGAACAAAAGCATGTCACAAAGACTGTACTGTTAATACAATTCAAAGATTTAATACTTTGTTTCCTGTTTTTATTATTTTGAGAAGTATATACTAAAAAAAACTTACCATCTTTTGTACCTAAAAAAGTTTTCAAGCTTTCATTTACCAGAGGTGTTTTGTTCTGTCAAAAAGCAAAAACCAAACAGTAATTAACATCATCTTTGTGCTAGAAATTGAAAACCACAGCAAGATGTTTTATTGAATTCTGTTCCACAATAGTGCCTCACATATGTAATTCACTTCTTCAAAATCTACCTTTGTATTAATTCGACTACCTACAAGTAAAAGCTACATTTATTTAGGAAAATTAAATTTGTCTCAGAGCTGAAGTAACTTCACCAGAATTCTTACTAGCATACTAATTTTTATTTACTTAATGACTAAAAAGACAAGGTAAGCAGTTAACTTCCCAGGTTGCTCCGCTAATATAGTGTGAAGTTTGTTTAAAGAAATTCAGTCCAGCCTTTTAAAAAATGGAAATTTACAAATCTTCTAGACAAAGCATGGACCATGCTAATAACTAGTACACAAATGAATACTAATCTTCTATTAATTAAAAGACTCTCCAAGATATTATGAAGATGGTTTTTTTCTCCCTTGTTAGATTTGCTCTTTTCAACTTTAATTTTTAAACTGAAATAAATCAATGTGCTATGCTTGGGTTTGTCAGAACTGTTCAGGGACTTTTCAAAACCAATTCTACATGCCACTCCTAACATATCAAAATGTCCTGGGTAAGAAAAGGATCCTTTATATGTATTTATTACTACAGCTTTAAATGCTAACACACACACAAGAAAGTGCTGCCTGAAAATTGAATATTTAGGAATTCAGAGGAGTGGTAGTATTAATATACTTCCAGCATCTATAGCATAAATTTAAAATATCATGATAAGCTTTTTGAGAAATGGTGAGCTGAAATCTACTGTAGCAAATTTCTCTTCAGTGCTGTTACTCTAAAGATAGTGTGGGAGGTTGTTCTCTGGGTACTCCATAATATGCTGAAGCTTCCCATAAGAGATGGCACTGTTCTGCTGTATCACTCTTCCATTGTGTCTTCTTCCACAATTTTACACTAAATTTCTGGAATATACAATCTCATATCATAGAATAACTACTTTTTCTCCTTATTAATGTCACAATACTGTCTGTTTCAGTTAACCAATTTTCCTGAAAAAGCACAGCCATCTAACCAGTAGAGGAATAGAAGAGTTTTCCATTCCTCTCTTTTTGAAACAGATGGACATACAGTACTCTCAACTCTACAGTTCCAGAAAATGGAAAGACACAAGAAATGGAGCAATGTCAGCAGCAGAAGAGGTCATAAGACCAGTGTCTGTATACCACAGCAGTATTGTTACATCATCTTGATAGTATCTCATTCCCTTAACATTATTATATTGTCAAAGTATCAATACATAGTACATCTGCTAATTAAGAATTCATGCTTAAGTATTAAAGTAAATCATTCTGAAGCAAGCCTACAACATCTTTATGGGAAATACCAAAAGCATCAGCATTTTACAGCATTACGTTACTTTCACAATACACTTGTCAAAACCCCCCACTATAATATTTTAAATTTCGAAAGACATTATTCTGATTTGAGAAAATCTTGATCAGTCAACTAGATATCTTTTTTTAAATAAGTATTTGATAGAGAATACATTTAGTTATTCTGGTCAGTTTGACAGAAGCAATATAAACCCAGAAGACACAGTTACTTAAAACTACAATTTCAAAAACCTATTTAACAATTCCTATTTTTAAGCATCAAGAAATACCCTGACAATCCTGTTTTGTGTTCTTTATGCATCATGCTCTTATGCAGAAATACATATTTTTATCTTCTTACATGTCACAAAAAGAAAGTATTAAAGCAATTATATTTAATTCTACATGAAGAACTACCAGGATGGTTTTTTCTGCCTGATCTATTTTTTAAGATTCTCTTACCTCTACTTTCTCTTGTTCTTCTAATGCCAAAAACACAGCTGCTCGTAACTCTGCCTGCCAAGTAAAAAACAAAACAAACAGCATTTCTATAAGCACTGTTTTCCCTATGCAAATAGAATGCAAAGAGCTAGCAAGTAGCTTAACAGCTATTTGTTTCTCCTCAAGCAACTTGGCATGGACTGTAATCTACATCAGTGCAATTAAAACACATAAGACTACAGGCAATGTGACTTGAGGCAGAGAAATAATAGTTTCCAGTCTGAGAACAAGGCAGGAGGGGAGAGCAGGGCGAGGGAAGCAGAATTTCATAGAAGACTTCCTAAATTATTTCTTTGTACATAAAAATATTCCAAAGTACCTACATTATCTCCTATTAGTATCTTCCAAGAGTTAAACATTCAGCTCTTTCAGGCAGCTTTGAAACACCATCATTTACATACCCTTCATTTACAATTCATTCAGGAAACATGGACAAATAGCTTATAATAGCCCATTTAAAAGTTAACATTAAGATATACAAATTCCTGTTATTTCTTCTCAGATTATGTGCAAAAACACAGATGTTCTCAAGGAAAAGAGAATCCTAGTCATTCAAACGCTCCTGTAGTAACGTTTTACCTAACTAATTCTAAATATATTACTATCAAGAATCAGAACTCTTCTAAGAACTACTTCGAATATTTAAGCCTTGCATACCTAATTTTTGTAAGCACTAGTTTCTCTACTTCTTTCATTGAATGCACCAAATGGATAACATACATTTGATGAAGTAGTTTGCCACCTTAATCAACTCTTAATCTGACATTTTGAAGTAACTCAGTCATTAGACAACATTGCAGTAATAAACTATAAAAGACAGTGTATGAAAGTTTTCTCAAAAGCAAAAAAAAAGGCAGGGTTTTAAAGAAAGATCTATTTCCATAACTAAGAATAAAAACAGTATGAATAGTGTCTGGACTTTCTCATGTATATTACAAGAGGTAACTAAACACGAATTACCCTGTAACTGTTCCCTCCCACCAAAAAAAAAAAAAAAAAAAAATATCTTTTCATGGGAAAAACAAACACTTCCTTTTTCAGTAATACACTCTTTGGACACCTTTTCAAAGGACAAAATGTAATGCACAAAGGCCTAAAGAATTTCTCATCAGAAGAAGCGTAAAATGCTTACCATAACTGTACGCTCTGGTCATACTGATACTGCAGTCACATTTTTTTCAGTTGCTGGGATATAGCATTCAATCAGAAAATTCTCTTACAAGCAATTAATTTATTTATTATTCTTACTTTTTTTTTTTCAGGTGATGGGGTATAGCAGGCAATCAGCAATCTTACACCTCATTCATTTAAATATTATTCTTACAAAATCAGTTTACATTTAACTTTCCCATCAACAGCTAAAAGCTTGTTGATTGAGTTCTATGTCACTGTGATAAACTTAATATGCCTGTGAGGCTTTCTTTGTCACTTATGCCACAGAAACCAAATATACTAACATAAGAGGACAATAAAAATAAAGCATTCCTGACTAGCTACTACAACTGTTCAAAATAAAACACACCAGCCATTACACACGGATTGGGGTAAACCCCCTTAAGGGTCTGGATAATGGGACTGTACAACAAAGTTGTCTGAAAGTAGTTGCCAATACATCAGCTGATCCAGAGGCTGACCTATTTAAGATTTTGGAACAATATTACAACTATCTTTTTTATTTTTTTTTGCATAACTAGGATTGTTTGCCTGCTCCACTCCTCTAGGTCCAATCTAGAGGCTTTTAATTACAAATTGAGGTGCTTTTCTTCTTATTTATTTAATGGCACAGGGTCAGTTTCTCCCAGATGTTGCCATTCCCCATTAATAGCTGGTTCACCTTTATTTATTTTAGTGCCCAATTAATAACCTTAAGGTCAGGAGCTCATCACTAGAAGATAACACCACCGGCATTTACGACATCTCTGTTTTATCTTACCTGCATCATCTAGAACACCACCCTTAAGCCTTTCCACAGACATGCAGCCCCACAATCAACCCTTCAATCCTGCAAGCATCACAGTATTGAAGTTACACGCTCCTGTACTATCTCCAAAAGGAAGGTTTGCACCACTACAACACACTGACGTTCATCCTTTGAGGTGGGTACTGCTCAGATCACAGTAGGATATTCTCAAAATATCATCTCGATAAATTTAGACATGGAAATATACACTAGAATCTGTGTGAGATTAAGGCAGAAATCCTCAAGCTCATGCAGAAGAAAGTAGAAAGCAAGACAGTAACAAAGCTGAGGACAGAGTAATAATCACCCTAATGCAAGATGAATCATAATAACTAGTAGGATGGATAATGTCATATAGGCTTTTCAGGATCTGAGACCAGTCATAGAGAATTTGAACACCAGCGACTGAGATCAGGTATGGCCATAACACTTTGCTCCCACCAGCAGATATGAAGGCTTATATAACTGCATAGATTAATCCATTTACATCATTCTTCTCACACCTCTTTTGTTTTTAGTAAGTGTAAACAGTTTGCATTTGTCTTTGCTCTGGTATCCTTTGGCACCAGCCCAAACTGTGTTCCACACATTGTTAAAATCTGCTCTTGACATTTTCCGCATGTCCCTATTCCACACTGCCTCATTCTGATAGTAGTTTTCAACATAATACAAATACATTGTGAAGAATTTTATTCACAGTCTAGTAGTAGAGCAGAGCAAAGCTTGATAATCAAAATCCCCACCCATATCCTTCCTAAGGCTTCAATAAAAAAGGGTTATGTCAACAGAGACAGATATTGATGAGTAAGGTAGGTGGCAGTGTCTACCATCCATCAAGCCTACAGACTTCTTTCTCATCCCCTGGAAGATGCCCGTTCTAAGTAGTTTTATCAGGCAAGAGCCCATGTCAATGAGACAGCAATTTGATTTCACTGAACGTAGCTAAAACGAGTAGGGTTAACATTGTAACATGTAACAACTACTGTCTGTATCCCAGAAAAATAGGGGTCAGTGTTTTGAAACAAAAGAATGTTTCCCCTTTTCCTCACGGGCATTTGCAGCTCATCAGACAACACTGTTTTTTACTGATTGCTGCTTACTATAAATCAGAAGCTTGTAGTACATGAAAGAAAGTATCTTTTCTGCACTGCACTATAGTATCCCTCTTCAGAACCTGGACAAGTTAACCCCATTTCAAATACAGAGCCTTTTGCAGGTATCCTAAGTACTGTCCAGGAAAACACATCTCTCAACCTGCAGTTCCCTGGAATAAGGGAAAACAGTTCTTACTATCTCAAGAGCTCCCCAAACACATTTTTGAGGTGACATCTCAAAAATGCCAATCTAATTTGGAAATATGCTCTTAATACAAAGACAACAAGCACCCACCTTAACAAGGTTATCAGTCTGATTTAGTATGCTTGTAAAAGCCATCCACAGCAGCTTAAATAGCAGACACCAGATGAGAAGTAAAAAGATTAAAGACCATCCAGGAATGAAGGATGACCTATAGCCTAGAACTACCTCCCACTTGCAGACTCCACAACATCTCCGGCATATATAAAAATTAGTGGCACATGGGCAGCTTCCTGCACAACTTTCAGCACCTCCACTTCCTAACTCCAAAACAGCTGTCATGTACCTTGGTAGATATAGAGCAGATGCTTTGCTCTGGAAAGAGCAACAGTAGCATATTAAGCTGTTTAATCTCTGGTGATCACCCCAGGCTAAAACCCTGTGTGTATCAGGCTAAAAAGCCTGCACCGGTCTTATACATGCCAGATACGTATCACAAATCCAAAGCTGGTGCCAAAACACAACCAGCAACTTCACTATGAATAATACTCAGTATCCACTCTGTCCCTCCGTCTGCAATATTTGTGAGGTTCTCATCCTTTAGCATGAGGTGGTGTGCTCTCCGCCCCACATGCTACATTTTGAAACCTTGGCTAAGTGACATAAAGGATTGATTGTGCATACATAATCCTTTAGACATAAACAGGTGACCAAGTCTGTGACTAGATGTGCAGTCACATTGTACCTAGTCTCCTCTCAGAGAGGGAGTTCATAAAGCCTTTTCTGAACCTCATATCTCAATGGGAGCATCTCCCTGACAGTTTTGTCTGACCCTGTCCTCTATGCAGTAAATAATCAAGTTTAATTTGCAATCTCAGCTTGTTAAACCACCATCACATTTACCACTGAACTTTGCTAACTTACTACTTTATATCAGTAAGGTATACGTTGCTTCTCTCTTATGAGTGAAGTGTATGACCTCATCTGCAACAGAGTAAGACCAATCAAGTAGTTTGCATGACCATTTTTTGTCAGCAGCATTAATTGGTTAAGAAAGTTAAACTTGCTGGTAATGTAATTGTAAAGATGAAAAATGCTGGGAAAAGGAAGAATTCATAACAAAATGGAAGTAGTAAACACTTAAACCCCTAAACCCTGAATAGCCACAGCTACATTTATCAGATGCATATCACAAAAAGTTCCCGTTCTCATGTTCCCAAAGAAGGATACGTGCATGATATTATGAGGACCATACCGACATTTAGACATTGAATTTCAGTTAGTTTACCTGAAATAATTACAGATGGTTATATTTTACTTAACTTATAAAACTAAAAAGAAATAGATGTTACATTAAAAAAAATTAATTATGCTCCCTGATTACAAGAAATGAGTTGACTCTCTGGTATGAATAGCTTTAAAACAAGCAACCAATCACAACATGCAGAAAGATGACAATGTACTGTAAAGCACGTTCATCATGACAGTTTATAATTCTAAGACATTTAAATGCATTGGTCATTATGATAAATGGAATGAAAATATAAAAGCAAATAGGAAAATTTTAACTGACCTGTATGTATGCAGTTAACATCTCATTCTAAAAAATAGTATTTTTATCTTATCTAGCATCAAAATACCCAGTACCTCAGCTGCCCAAAAGCTTTACTAGGCGTATAACATTTGTGATTCTAACCTCCCTCACATCTGCAGCAACAGCAAGTTCCAGAGAAGATGCAAAATATAGGTAATATAAACTTAATTTTTCCAAAACAAAAGAGATAAAAAGATACAAACCAAACCAAAATAAGATAACAAAGAAGCACAGTAAAAAGCATAATGGCCCCTCTTGCTCTGACGATGACAGCTTCCCTAGGAGAAAGATCACATTCTTTTCAAGACACAACACTCCTATTTGTACACTATCTCATAGAACCATTATAATTTTCACTGAAGTACAAATATTCAAATATCCACAGTCATATTCTGTATGTTTACAGAATTCATTAGAAAGCTGTCTTATCCATTAGACTAATTCCAATGATTAACAAACTATATATACATATAATATATATACACATATTGCAGCTTAGAGAATACCGGAAATTCTTAACTGTAAGTGGCAAATACATTTACACATTTTCCAGTTTTCACAACAGTACTTCATTAAGTACTCTAGGTGCTCAAACTCTAATATAAATTCAAAAATCCTGAACATATTTTTAAAATGTCATATAAGTAATAACATTTCTTTTCAGCTAAATAATTTACATCAACACCAATGCTCACCAGAAATTAATCTCAGAATAAGAATAAACTAATAAACTGGAATCCATTATCAAATCACGCTTTATTAGAGAACAAAGGTATCACAATAAGTTTCTTTCTAAAAATTACTCAGTCATTATGTTACAAAATGTATTAGCTGACAGCCTGATACATTCTATCCCTTGAAATAATTCCCCTTAAATTCTAATCCTTCCAGAGCTGTCATTACCTACAGTGCTTCATAACCAATGCATACCACTGGCCACATTTTTCTCTTTAATATAGCTACTTCAATAACCGCCCCCTAAATGGTCAGTACTCATTCTGAAGTATAAGATAAACAACTGTTTTGATAACATGTAAACATTCAGTTCACCACATAATAAAAAAATATTGACACACAATAAATAAACACTATTGATCAAAGTTATGTTTAATTCATTTTAATGAAGGGATGACTACAATTTTTTTAATGGATTGTATAATCTAATTTCAATTACAAGATGACAATTTAAGAAGACTTGTTCAAACTTAATTCTTCCAGCAATAGGCTTTTTGTCAGATACGAGCAGAACAAATTTGTAAGTCATCATGGACATTAAACTTACATGCCAGTTAAGGTTTACAGCTAAGGAAAAAAAACCACCACGAACTCCTCCAATCAACAGACTTAACCATAAGCATACCAGTTAACAAACAGTAACTCCTAATATTAAAAAGAGCCATAATCCAGTTATATTTTTCTGAGTCATTTGCTAGTTTGCCTTAAGAATACCTTACACAATATTGGATGCCACACACTTTTGGCATTATGGAATAGTGAACCACAATAAATATATTTACACAAAACTCAATGACCTGGCAACTGTAGTATAATAATTTACACATTACACAAAGGCAGGAACTAAGAAACTACAGATCAGGAGCTAAGTGTAACCCAATTGCCTTGTGATTCTTTTTTTAATTACAATTTTATTATCATCATACTTTCATTGTTTAACACTATGTGAGTGGTTAACAGGTGGCCCAAAAGGCCTGTATGACATTAGTCAGTAAAAGGCCTCCCTACTCAAAATGCAGTTATATGAGCTAGAATCCTCACACCTACCCAGGGAGTTTAAATAAGGATTGTCCATTTGAAAGGAAAGAACAACACTGTTTTTAATATTTTTGTTGAAAAGTATGACTAGCCCAAAATGCAGGAGACTTCAAAGCACACACACAAATATGCTCTCATTCCCATTAACCATTTCAGTTATTGAACTGTTCCTAAAATATCAGCAACGACCATCCACCTCTGAAGGCTTAAAACAGAGCATTGTGGACAAATACCACTATCCCTGATGTGAAACCTACACTTCATTTTTCCTTTAGCATGGAAGGAAACCCATCTATTTTTAGGCTTCCTTACCTGCACTGCTGTCTACTATACACACTAGTTATTGTTGGAAGCTTCTAATTTGAACAAGAATCCATGGAAACAACTTTCATACCCTTTCTTACACAAGTTCAGGCTACACCACAGACTTGAAATAGTGTACACTTCACTATCCTCTGTATATTTTCTTAACATGGCATTATTTGTTCACTATAGGCAGGTAGCATCTCCAGAGAGTCTCTAGATTTAGCAAGCCTTCAAGGCACAGCTCAAGCAACCCACACTCAAGACAAAGTGTTTAAATAGAGACTCACAGTAGCTCGCTTGAAATTTTCAAGAGGGGTTTTCCTTATCGAAGCAAGGATAAACTCTACCCACTCCGTCCCGCACCGCCCGGCAGCAGAACGCTCCCAGCCCTAAGTTTAGCGGCAGCAAGGGGGCTCTTGAGGCCACACGGTACCTACGAGGGCAAACCCGCACAACCGGGATCGGGCTCCCCGCGCTCCCGTCCCGGGCATCCCGCATTCCCGAGGGGCACAGCCCGTGCGGCGCTCAGGCCCGGGGCCCTCGTACCAGCTCCACGAGTGGCCAGGGAGCACCAAGGGGAAAGCAGGCGCCACCGCCAGGCCGCGACGCCGAGTCAGCAGCCCCAGCCGGGAATACCGGCTGGAAGCGGGAGCGAGAAGGGACGAAGCCCGGTAAGCCTCAGCCCCCCCCAACACTCCGCAGGGACGCGAGCCGCTGGCAGCGCCAGCCAGCGCTCCCCGCTCCCCGCTCCCCGCCGGGCGGGAAGCTCTCCTTCCCCAACCTTAATCTTATTGAGCACCCCGCTGCTCTCCAGCGTCTGCACCAGCAGGTCCCGCAGCTCCGTGTCCTCCTCCGCCGCCGCGGCCGCCATCTTGCTTCTCCCTGACAACCGCCCAAACCGCGCTAGCGGCGGCACGGAGCCGGCAGATTCGCCACCGCCGCTGCCGGCGGCACCAGCCGAGGGCGGACCCCAGAGAGTGGGGCGGACCGGGCCAGCGGCCCCCCCTCGACACCAGCCCAAGAGGGAACGCAGAGAGGACACGGCCATCCAGCGCCGCCGCCGCCCACAGAGCCTGGAAACTGCGGCGGCGAACGCGCAGAGCGGCGGGCGGGAAGTTCAAAGGAGGGCGGCGGTAACGGCTGAACCGGGCGACCGCCCGGCCCCGTCAGCGGCCCCTCTGACCCTCCCTCCCTCCTTCCCGCAAGGCTCCATCCCAAGGAACCATACGAGGAGCGGCTGAGCCTGCTCAGCCTGGAGGAGACTGAAAGGAGACCTCATCCCACTCTACAACTCACGACGGGAAGAGAAGGGGCACACACTGATCTCCTCTGGTGACCGGTGACAGGACCTGAGGGAATGGCCTGAAGTTGTGTCAGAGGAAGTCTAGGTTGGATATTAGAAAAAGGTTCTTCACTGGAACAGGCTCCCCAGGTCACAGCACCAAGCCTTCCAGAGTTCAAGAAGCGTTTGGACGATACTCTCAGGCATGTGATGTGACTCTTGGGGTGTCCTGTCCTGCAGGGGCAGGAGTCAGAGACAATCCTTATGGGTCCCTTCCAACTCTGAATATTCTGTGATTCTGAACGCCAAATCAAGCCACGTTCTCCCACACCCGCTGCCTACAGGTGCTCTGTATTTGGGTTTAAGGAGCGAACAGCTCCCGCTCCGCGGCAGAGTGCAAGCCCTGGGTGGGTCTCGGCTGCTGAGCCTGGCTGCTCCGCCACACACACGGGCACCCGGTGCCCAACAGCATCGATAAGGGCTTCTGGAGCCCTTGTTTGTAACAAGCATGTTAGCGGTTGCTGCTTCAAATAAAAAGTATAAAGCTCTGTAAATTGTAATGCTTAATCTGCAGCACTACGCGTTGCATTCTCTCACGCGGAACTGCCCATGATTTTTCTTAAAGAGAAGTCCAACATATGATAAATAATTTCGTAAGTTAGGAATGCTCCAAGGGAGCAGGTAGACCTCCTAGTGGCACAGGGCGCTGCTGAAGGCTGCTTTTAAAACGTGCGCAGCGACTCTTTTGGGGATGCCTAAATACTCAGCCTAGCCTGGGCAGGCAGGTGCTCATCACTCTGCCCTGCTTCTGCTGAACCCACAGGAGGTACTGCTGGAGTTTGTTCCCATAGGTTTATTCCCATACCTACCCAAAGAATATAGTGCTGCAATTTTGAAGTCCTGAAATTTGGAAACATTAGCAGTCTTCGACTTCAGAACAAAATTGTGTTAAACTAAACACAAAACTGCACTTCTTAAGACAACAATCCTTTCAATCTAATTTTTCAAAACCGTGTCAGAAACAAATAATAAATGCATAAACATAATGTATGGCATTAGAGTTGTATTTTTTATTTGTTCACTAGATCTCTAAATTTAATGGAAAGACAAAACAGACTTGACACAATAATTGATATAGGTAAAGGAAAGCTAGAGTAAAGGAAAAAAAAGTCAGTAGACTTAGATTATAATTTGTAAAATTCATTTCAGCATTTCAGTTACAGTGGCTTCAAGTTCTCAAATACATGTAGAATAGTTTGAATCCAGTTAACTGATAACCCCTTTCGAGCTCTGCAAAATACCAGACTATTACTTAGGTAAATATTCATCACCTTGAGGGCAATAAACCACAGTTCAGCTTCCTATTGCGATGTAGCCTCAACTTGTCTCACATTTGAAGGAAGTGTTGCCATTTTAAATGTATGTAATTCCCAAGTCAACCCCTAAGGAAACCATAGAAACATATTGGTACACAGTCTCTTAACACAATTTAAATGAAATTTAAGCTTTCAAAATCATGCATGGACTAAGTCTATTGACTTAAAATTAGGACATGAGAATATACATGTATTTCAAAATGTGTGTGTCTGCTCAGAGCATCATAAATGTTTTCTTAACACACCTTTAGGAAAGAAGTCTAACTGGATCTGTTTGTTCTATTTGTGCAATGGAAATAATCAAAGCCAAACAACCACATTGTGTCAGGGAGACAAAATTTGAAAGTCTCTGTCTGGATTCTTAAATCCTAATCTAAATGTAAACTGCTGAAAGGTGGAAAAATGTACTCTTCTGAAGGGTTTAATATAAAATCTTTAAGAAAGATGAATCATGCCAACCTCATTTTGGGTTGTTTGGGTTTTTTTCAAGGCCACACATTTCAGCATATAAACATACAGAAATCTAGATTACTACTACATTTGTTGAGAATTTTTTGAAGAAAATGTTATTTTCATGAAATTTAAAAGAAACTTTTCAAATATTCTGACATTTCCTCATTTTTTCCACCACTTTCTAGTCATAGCGTAATGATTGTTAATAGCCATCAGGAGATAAACGTCAATAAAGAAATAAAAGATCATACTACACAAATGAGTATTAAATGGAAAGTCTTGAGGAAACAGTTGTCCAAAATAGCTGTCCCTTGTCTTTCTCATACTTCTCAAAAGTCTGCAAAGATAAAATCAGGCTGAGTGTCCTTATCTAGTGCCTCTTCATGGGCAGTGACAAAGATCTCAGTGCCAGATGGAGCCATAATGTCCTCAGCAGCAGGAAGAGCAGTGCTGCATACAAGGATCTGGAAAGCTTCACTATTTTTAACTCTTCAACAAAATTTCTGAAACTTTAAATACCTCTTAGACACTGTCAGAGACAACAGCAGATGGATCATGCATTCCATCCAGCACAACATTACATGTCTCACAGAAAGGTGGGCAAAGAGATTTTTTTTGCCTCATCCTTCTTACGTTGTAAATGTGTAAACATAATTAAAATTTTTTTACCAGTGAGTAAAACTGAGACTTTGAACAAAGACCTTATTACAAAGACTGTAATTAATCTGTTTAAAACAAATGTTTTGCTTGCGGAAGCAGATCTGCCCACATATTTCTCCAGTGCATTAATAGAGGATGGCTGTGACATATCCCCCCTAGTTCAAAACTATACAAATTGATTAATAACCACGCTTTGTATTTATGATTCACACACTGGCAGAGAAAGAGGGGTCAGAATATGTTTCATAGTTTAACTTAGCGCTGAGAAAACAGTGAACCAAGTCCTGCCTGGAACATTTGTGACTCATCCCTTGGGCCTCCTTCCTCAGAAGCTTCCTACTGTTTTCAAACACGAGTGTTAGCTTCTCAAACTTTCCTCGCTATTTTGAAGAAGCACGCCACAGTCGCCCGTGTCAGCATTCCTCTGTTCGCCTTACTGAGCTCGCGTTAGTCAGTAGTTCTCCTACTTAGAGTCCTCGTTGCAGCCTCGAGGACCTCCGTGCCGCACACATTCTCAGTAGGAAATCAATGACAATTAAAGCCTAGAATATGCTAAGGAAGAACCAAACCAAAGCAGCAAAACCACGCACATCAATTCTGTCTTCCGCAGCCCCCCGGCGCTCCAGCCTCGCCCGCGCTCCCATGGGCCCGCTCGCCGGGACCCCGGCTGGCCGCGAGGATGCCGCGGGAATGCCGCGGGACACCGCGGCCCCCGAGCGCCCCGGCTGGGGGCGCGGAGCAGCAGGCAGCCCCGGCGCAGGCCACAGGGAGCCGCCGCTGTGGCGGGAGGCGGTGCCGCTCCCACCGCCCTCCCTCCCGCCTCCGAGGCGGGGCTGTGCGCGGCCCGCAGAGAGGCCCGGGCGGGCAGGGCAGGAGCAGCGGGCGGAAGGTAACGCGGGCCGGGGGTCCCGGGCAGGGCTACCCAGCGGGGGCTAAGGTGCGGTGAGGTCTGAACGCGAGGCAGTGAAGGTCAGGTATGAGAATCTCCCTGCTGCTCCCCCTTCCCGTGCCCTGCCCGCCGTGGGGCTGCGTGGCCGTGGCAGCAGCCGGGCAGGAGCAGGTGATGTTTGGCCCGCCCGAGGTGTGCCTGTGGAAGCCAGTGAGATTCTTGATTTGCGCGAAGTTAGGTGGGACTTGCAGGCCTTGGACGGGCTCAAATCATGTTAGGTTTAATTTTTTATGCCTTAAGTTCCCTGTGTAGCAAATCGAAAGTCAGCCAAAGGCATGGCAGCATTTCTCAGAGCTGGGAAGACTGTTAATAGTTCTTTTTACACTTGGCATCAGCTTTGGCTTGCACCAGTCGCCTGCGGGCATCCCGCTTCCGGTGCTCGGGTGATTTGCATTTCTTAAAATTTGAGAAAACACCTCTGTAGTGATTTGCAGCAAGAGCTTATGGTGTCGGGAAGTTACGTCTGGTATCAGTGCCCGGAGCAGAGCAGTGTGCTGGTGGGCCAGGGAGGCGAGGTGGGGCCGCCCTTGGGAGTTCCCCAGGAAGCCAGGCACTGAAACCGCTGCGGCTCGAGTTCTGCCTTGAACTGTACTTTGCAAGACAAGTAGTGAGGAAGTAATACTAAAAAGCTTGCTGTGGCGGTGGACGTGAGTATTGCTTCTTTAAAGTGCTTTTTGTAGTTACTGAGGCTGTCACTCGTGCTTGGGACGAATGGTTAGCTGGGAGTTGACTCTGGAGGAAAAAGTTGCCGGAGCTAAGAGCATTGTTACAAATTAAATTAATGCTTCTGGTATACCGTGTTGTGACTCGGCTTGTCTAACTCGTTGTGGCAGAGGCAGTGCACGCTGCCTTGTTTGGGATGCGACCAAAACCTTGGGTGTTTATTTTTGGGCCTTTAGGTTCCAGACTAGCTGTCCTAGATCTTACCTGTGGACATTGTTTTCAGCATTTAGCAGCGTCTGTCCTATGTCGTAGCCATGGGAGCCCTCTGCTAATGCTTGAGTGCTCTTCTGCAGCCTCGTCTCTATTCTGGTTCTATTTGCTGAATTGAAGTGTAGAGCTGGCAATTTTGTATAAATCTGGGGGTTAAAGAAATAAAATACGGTAGCAGAATATAGTGTTGCTAGTGTGCCAAAGAAGCATGTGCTATGTCGGTAGTCTCCTCAAGATGGTATTATTAAAGTTAAAACTGTGGTGAATGTGTTAAAGAAAGATTTCATCACGATTTATTACAAGTTCACTATAGCCTTTGATAAACCTGGGCAGATAATTTTGATAACAGCACAGAACGATGCTAACACAGCTGAAAGTGACCTTATCCTGACTGGTTTGCTAACACACACATAGACGTTTTGTGCATTCCTATTCCAGGTATAGTAAACCAAGTGTCATCCCAAAGCTATTCTTACTCTTTGGAGTAATGAACATGAGTTGGTAGCCTAGTTTTTATCCATAATGAACATGAATTGGTAGCCTAGTTTCAAATAATAATTTTTTGTATGTTTGCAGGTTTCAGTTTGAAGTTTTAAGTTTTCTTCATTATGGAATATTTTGGAACATCATGACTTTTTTTATGACTTTCATAATATGAAATCCCAGTTTCTTATTAGAGAGGAATTGATGTAAGATTTGCTGAATCAATTCTTTCTTGTATTTGTGCAATGAGTAACCTAGTGGAATTTCTAGTAAACAGAAGCAACTTTTATTAAAAACAGATGTGCTTCATACAGCTTAGTTGTTAACCTAGTTTTATTTTGGATGTGTATTTCCTCAAATATGCATCATTTGGGTGCTTTTCAGGTGAGATTGATGCACTTTTCACCTTTCACCATCAATGTCACAGTCCAGTAAAAGGTCAGCTTGAGCAAATCATTCAGTTTGTCATGATAGTGTTATGGCAGTTCAGTATTGTCTTCAAGCTAAAACATTAGAGTTTATCACTTATCAGTGGAAAAAAAAAGTAAAAGTTACAGATTGGGGCTTCCAACTTTGCTCACTGTCTCTGTTGCCCCTATATTCTGGCTGCAGGGTGCAGTGCAGGGCAATGTGCAGAATAATTCAGCACATTCCATTGTTCTGATAGCAGCATTTTTTGAAGCCCCCTTTGTTTCAGGTCGTTTTTTGATCAAGTATAAGAGTGCTATGAGAAAGAGGGGTAATTGCCTTGATGTTTTTTTGCAGCTTAGTCACTGGGAAAAAAAGTTTCTGCCTTCCTGCCAACTTAACTCATACCAGTTTGCAAAAGAAATGGCATCATGCTTGCTAGTTTATTTTTCTTTCATAATTATTTCCTTAAGGTGTTTCCACACTTGTGTACAATGCAGCTTTTTTTTTGGTGATGTGTCGCATTACTGTCTTTTAAATGGTACTTTCTGCTTTTTATAGATAGGGCAGAATCTTACATGAATCTCACCGAATCTTACACTGCTTACATCTCTCAGTGTTTTATCTTGGGTGCATAGTTTATCATGCTAAAAAGTAGTCTTGCTTGGTTGGTTTTCAGTCGAAAATAACAGTAGATGAAATCATTTAACAGGTCTATAAGGGAGAATCTCATGTCATTAATTCTTGAGGTTCAAGTGATGAGACTTGAGATCACTTAAAATGCAGAATTTCTTGGGGAAATTGGATACCCAGCAGTTAATTACTTATTTGAGACTTTTTTTTATACACTCTGTGAGTGTATAAATTTCTTTAATACAACATATATGTCTTGCTTCAGCTAGCTTTTGATAAAGATCATTTCTACATTATTGATTGCTTTTCTCTACAAGTAGGACACTCCAAATGATCAGAAAATTAACAGTTGGCAACTAATATTTATCTTCTAATACCTTCTATTTGGCTAAGTACTTAGGTAACATATCCATTATAAATTAGAGAGGCATTAATGTATGAAACAGAAGAATGTCTTAAAAAGTGTTAGTTTCTTCACAATTTAGCAAAACCTTCTGATAAATTTAGTTGGCTAATGGTTATTCCTTGTTGCCCAAACCCCTCATGGAGTTTTGAAATCACGCATTTTGTGAGCTGGGAGGCCACCTTGTTGATTTCAGCTCAGCCACAGCATTTGAGGAACTGCGGGGTAGGGCTTGTGGGGGGCCCTGCAAAGTGGGTCCAGAAGCATGCAACAATGGTGGGACAGTGGATGGACTCTTGTTTATGATAAGCTGTGGGTCAGAATTACACTGATTTTCCCTAAGTTAGCTTTAATGGCTGAATCAGCAGTGTCTTCATTGGTGTGAAAAGAGGCTTTATTTGGCTATTATAAAGATGAATTAAAAAAATCTTCATAGAAAAAAGAATATGACTTGGGTAGTGAGTGGTCTGAAAAGGGTCACCTAGATTACATGCAGTGTCTTGTAGTGCTTTTTTTTTTAGGCTTCTCATTTTGCAAAGGTTGGAAAGGAGGTTTGGTGAGGCTTTAATAACTGCATGTAAATACACACATGCACAGCTGTTTCTACAAGGTAACCTTTGAAATACTGTGAAATATCTGATGGATACAGGAGACTGTTGGGTTTTTTTGACCTGTGCCGTGTGAAAGTCCTTCTATTGCTGAAGGTTGATTTTTTTTTTTTTATCACTGATTTTTCAGGTTCACTAGTAGGCAAATTGTGCATGGTTTCATAGAGGCTATCTCAGCTTTATAACAAGAACAGAAACTAATCTGGTTTTAGCAGCGATTTTTTTTAATACCACTTAAGTAGTCAACTGGTATTTGGAGAGAATTTGGACATTATCTTTGGCTTCCTTTATGTTTCTAAGATCAGCCTTTTTCAATCCAACATGAATATTCAATGTTAAGTCAAAATTTCTTTAATGAGTCACTTTAGGCATTTGAGCTGACCACAAGTAGAGTCTTAAATTAAAATGCAGTTGTATAAAAGATTTATGTATATCTATTTATTGGAAGGTGGCTCTACTGTGTGCAAGTAAAGGAAAAAAAAAGAAATGGTATCTCAACCTTGATGCCATTAGTTTATGAAAATGAGCGTACAAGCTGGTGAATCAGGCACAGCTTTCAACGAGATCCCCTCAGGCACATAGTGTGACTCTTGGGGGTGGTCCTGTGCAGCACTAAGAGTTGGACTTGATGATCCTTGTGGGTTCCTTCCAGCTTGGCATATTCTGTGATTATGTGATTCTGTGAGATCCTCATTTTACCCATAGCCTAGAGTTACCCTGTTACCTGGTGTTTCTGAGATAGTAGTGTTTTTCTGCATTTTAACATTTACAGTACACTGGATAAGTAATGGATTTCTTCTTTTAACACCTTTTTACAGCTGTCTGATTAACAAAATGAAACCTGCAAAACTGCACTGTTGGATTCTGGGTTGGTTTTCTATGGCATTATGTTGTTGGTGTACTTCAGATAAATTCACTCAAAGGTAAGTTATGCTATAAAAAGAAATGTCTAACAGCTCATTCTTAAGTGCAGATCAGAATAGTTTAACTTCTAATGAGAAAAGCTTTCTTATTATGTGCTATTTTTGATGTGTTATTCTTCCCTTAAGTGACTTTTAAAAACAAGGCATCTACCTTAACTGGAGGAGCAGGGATCATGCCTAAGCAAATCTTTACATTTACTAATATGCCAGCATGAGAAAAGAGGAAAACTTAAATTACATTTGTTGCACTTAAAACTTGTGTAATCTTGTTTTAAATGAGTCATTTAGACTTGTGGTGTAGTAATGGCAAAAATGGGAAGTAATTTTGAGACCTATAACAAAAAAACTGTAACCATGCCAATGGCATGAACTGTTGCATTATATATCTTTCTTTCTTCCTTGCTCATTTCTCTGTTCCGGTAATTTAAAATTCCTTTTCATATGGCATCCCAACTGGGGCTGGATCAGTGCTGCACAGCCTTTTCGTGGTTGCTGCATTTGGCAGAATCTGAGTTTGAATACCGGTGGGCCACGCCCCAAATCACACCCTTCTATGGTAAAAGCTCAAATTCCTATTGCATTGTAAGAGGAAATAAACTTTTCGCCTTCTTTTCAAAGCTTTGGCAAGAGAATGGTTAAGGGTACCCAGATCAGTGCTGAACTTCATGTAATAGCTGCTTTGCAGCTGGTTGGTAGCTTAAACACTGTGCTGCTGTTTCCTGAATCCCCAGGACATAGGCTGTGCCTTGGCATCTTGGTGACAGAGGCAGTTCTAGAAGCACATTCCTGAACTGCACAGGGCTGGATAACCGGGGTCAAAAGAAAGGGAGATACTTCTGAAGCTGGATAGATATTGAAAATGGCTTTCCTTGAATTCCAGTTCTGAGCTTAAGTTTCTAAAACTTGCTCTGTTTAGTAAGTACCGTTTTCTGACCTATCCTTAGCCAAAAAGTTGTTCTAGGAGATTTGTTTTGGCATGAATGAAATTGCAGAAGTTCCGCTGCTATTTCAAGTACAGGTGGAAGATCTAATGAAAGATCTTTCCTAAGTGAGGATTTCTTTAAAGCAAGGAAACTAACTGCTCTGCAATGTAGAGGAATTCTTTTATTCAAGTTTCCACAGCAACAGAAAAAAACCCAGATAGAAGTGTTAATAGTTTTCATTGTGGCTCTGCCTGGTCATTTCCAGAGCTATTCTCCTAAATTATTTAAGAAACATAAATACATCTGAATGTTTAAGAGAAGATATGTCCATTGCAAAGTAGAAAAACTAGAGGAAAAAAATTGAGAAATGATGTAACACGGGATGTTCCCTGCTTTCTCAGGTTAAGAAGTAACCTTCTCTTTCTCTCTCTCTCTCTTTTTTTTTTTTTTTGGTAATGTAACCTCTGGCAAGAAGTGATGACAGACATGTGTCTATTAGCTTCCAGAGAATAACAGTTTATTTTGACAGTTCTGCACATAATGCTGTCAGTTTGAACAATTTACAGTTCTGTTGATTTTTTTACCATTTGCTGTTCTATTTAATCACTTTGTGTGGTTGCTTGATAGCTAATTATATTTGCTCTAGTGTCTGATGCAACAGGCTTTTTATTTACTTCTAGTTTAACCACAATAGGTTTGCTCCAAATTGTGGGAAAATGCCTCTGTAGAAATGCCATGATATAGGCTTCCAACACTTTTTGAACAAATTTTTGAAGGTTTTTGTTTTGTTTTTTTTTTTACCTCTGCATGGGCATAAGATAGTCCTGGTGCCTCTGTGAGTTATAGGTCTCTTATTCTAAGAGGTTTTCAAACAGACATGCTCTTGTAAAATACACAATACTCCTGTGGTTCTTCCTCAGGTAACCTAACCTTAAGACTTTGTCATAGTTTGATCATTTATTAAATGTTTAAAAATTACTTAATTTTTAGTAAGCATTTTAAAAATGTACTATTTGAATTATGTGTCTATAAACTGAGAAAGTCAGTATTTTTGAGATTTATGGTTTGTACGTTACCTTTTGTTCTGAGCTGTTGGGTTTTTTTAATCTAAAAGTTTGGAGACACTTGCAAGATCCAGTTGCATCTCCTGCAGCGTCAACTACATTGTTTGTGGTCAGTTGTAATCTTTCTTTTCTAGAAGAGTAGTTACAGTTGTATGCATAAGGTTGTATACTTTTTTCCCCCAGATAATATGGTTATCCAGAAGAACTAAAAGATTCTTAACATCTTAAACAAAAACACCTTTTTAAAAAAATATTAATTATTGTTGTAAAAGTGTGCCAGTAAGTGATCTCCTAAATATAAACCAGAACAATGTATTTGTTCTGTATTTAGGAAATGGAAAGCATATGGCCATGCAGTGCCAGAAGGAGAATTTGTTTAACAACGGGGGGTATTAGCAGTTTTCTAATTATGATGTTTCTCTGTGCTTTGTTAGTTTGTGTTTGGAGTTCTTTTTAAAATGCTTGAGGAAAAATAAATTCATCTATCTTTTTCCAGTGACAACCACCCTCATACCTGGAAGAAGCTTTATCTTGCTCATCATTGGCCAGTGACTGTATGCAAGGTGAGATTTTTTGCATGAGTTTATTCTCTTTTATCCTAACAAAGGTAGCCTTGGACAATAAATGTGTGAAAACAGAATGAATAAATCCCATTAAGCATTTAATCTTGGTTTTGCCCTTATATCTTAATAAAGGCTTTGGCTGATCTTGATGCAGCTTTTGCTACTTCCCCTGCACTCCAGAGCAACTGTAAACAGGATGAGATTGTGGTGCGTTACAGTAACTGCACACTAAGCTTGTTAAATAATTTGTTAGTTGTAAAGTTAATCCCAGATTTTTACCAGGCTGTAAGAAGACTTGCCTGCCTTGTTTGACTGAAGGCAGCAGATCAGTACAGGAACTGTCTGCTGCACAGTAAGGTTTTTACCGAAATACTCAGAGGCCTCTTCTCATACAGCTAAGTTAAAAATATGTTATACTTCCAAATGAAGGACATGATCAGATTTACTGATCACAGTAAATGACACAATGATAAAGAACTTTGTGGGTAGTGGAGATGCTTCAGTTTCAGACAAATGTCTCTGGAGCCAAAAAGTTGTCTTAGGCTTATTACTATATTAGAGTCTTATTACTATAATAGAGTCTTATTTTTTGTGGTACTTTTTGTACTTTTTTATTTCTCCTTCCTATTTCTGCAAATACATATGAAAGCAGTAGCAGCAAAAGTCAGATGCTGCCTACATATCTGAGGAAAAGTAGATGTACTTTCCATTACTTAAATGTGGAGGGCAAGTATCAGCAAACAAAACTCAGATGTGCATGACTGACTGAGGCTGAGGACCAAGACCAATGTTCTTTTTATTTTTTGCTTGTCTGTTTCTGAGGGGAAATAAGGACCGATTTGATGCAGTTTGTGTCTGATTTTTTCATTGATTAAACATCACAGTTACTGACTTCAAGCAGAGATGTCAGTGTTCAAGAGTTTATAGTGCCTGGCACGAGTGGGTGTCAGTCAGTAGCAGTGCAAACCCTTGCTTGCATGAATGAGATGTGAACAATTAAAAAAAACCAAAAAACAAATTAAGACACCAACCAACGAATCAAACCCCTACCAATCAGTTTTCCCACTGTATATTTATGCTACCTACTCCTCTTAATTCCTGGGTGGTGCTGTTGGTAAACTGACAAATAACCTCTATAATCTTCCAATGAAATTATAAGGAATAATTAAAGATATTAAGCATCAGAAAGCATAGGCATTCTTCCACTTTGTTGATTCCTTATGATCTTCTGTAGTAAGAAGTAGATGGAACCATTCAAAGAAGTGAAGAAAAAGCAAAATTAAAATCATTGTAAGTGAGCTTTTTTCCCAGTTTCACATCACTGAGTCTTATGAAGAAACTCAACTGTAGTCCCTTAACAGATTTCTTTTTGTCACATAAAAGCAGTTCCTAAATTCAGCTGTGGTTTTGGTTTTTTTTTTTTTAGGAATGTAGACCCTTCTACATGTTGGTGTATTTATATATGATAACTGTTTTGTTTCACAGAGTAAATATTTTTACTCATTCTTTATATTAAAACTGTTGACACAAAGTTGAAAGGAAAAATAGCTGTGTGAAGCAAACTGCAAACTCATTATATCACTTATGTAAAAAACTTTTGAAACACTCCTTTCTGAAAGTACTGACTAGTTTATGCTTCCTGTATAAAGGAATCTGATAATAGACTTTTTCCTACATACTGTGTACTTGAGAGGATAAACACATGAAAGGTTTTAGCTTATTGGCTTCTGCTAGAGATGTGTTCAACAAGAAGTAAATCTGTTTTATTTCCCTCCTCCTAAATTTTTTCAGCACCCTTAGGTTCATTTGTTGATTTGTTTTACCCCTGGGGGTAGGGAGAAGGAAGAAGGGGAATAATTACACACTCTTTGGAGGAGAGAAATTGAGGAGTTGAGCTCTCTCCACAGTTTCAAAAGCAAGGATTTTTCATAGCAGTTGTGATGTACCTTTACAAAACAACACTTAAAATTTATCTTAATTAAATGGATGGCTTAGTTAAGCAGGGTGGTTGGAAGGGAGAGCAGGATTAAATATTTCACTTCCCAGAAGCTGAATTTTCATTTAAACTTGGTGTATCCACATGTGATCCAGTAGCACTACTCTGTTGTATGTACAAAATTCTGTACCAAGGGACTTGTAACTCGGGCAGCTCAACAGGTAACAACTTCTGTGACAGTCCGATGGTTTTTCACGTTTTCACATTTCAGAGGTGAAAAAAACTTCCATGCTTCTGGCACGTGCTGTTTGTGCAATGTCTTGCTGTTACAAATCAGCTGATCTCTCTGCTGCAGCATTCCCTCTCAGCACCGTGGGTGCTGTAAAGCCTTACTGGCACTTTTCTCAGTTTTCTAGATCATGTATAGTTAATTTGCATTGATTTGATTATCATATTACTTCAAAACAGGAGAAAACAGTGCTCCTTTTTCAAATTAATCTGGATATATAAGGCTTTCTGCGGTCTGATGTCCCCTTGAAAATACGTGTTTGTACCCTTGTTTCAAATCAACGGTTGCCTGAATTTGAATTAATCCTCCAGCAATCAGTCTATGATAAACAGGAAGGCTGACAAGTGTTTTTGCAGAAGCAGTCAGTGATAACCAGCTTTTCAGACTAGCATTTTCTTGAGTTATGATATTGATTTAAAATTAACATTGGAAAAATACCAAGGCTAGAATTAGAAAGGAGGATGAAGCTGGCCAAAGCATGTGAGGCATGAACTAATGTTTTTTAGGTTGCATTGACCACTTAGTTCTGCCAACACACAGGATAGCACCAAGAGCCTGATGAAATGTGTGGAAAAAACTGCTAATTAGTGCCTGAATAGGGGAAAACTAATTCCAAAATTAAAATACTCTGGGATTTCCATTAGCATGGAAAACCTGAGAACTGCAGTTAAAGATTGGATAAGGAACACAATTGCCTTGTTCTTGTTGCCACCCTCAGTTGAGCGGGCCGCTGGCTATTAAAGTGCTGTATTTTGGGCTAGATAGCCAAACTCTTTCAGCTCCACAAAGCTTGTGTCATGACAGGAGCAATATTGTTTAGGAGTTTGCAGTGTGTGTTTGTTCAAAATACCCCTTTCAGGAAAAAAAGCTATTGCTGGGTTTAATTGCTTCTGTTGGTGGCAAGAGAGGAGAGGAAGGAAATGGGCACAGAACAAGACTGTCTTGCAGAGCTTGCATATTTGCTGCCACCGGCCTCTGGCATGTGGAAAGCAATTAGTGAGATTACAGGCCTGTCTTTGCTCTTCAGTGCACTCTACTCTTTCTCTGGCATCACATAAAAGGCATTGTGGCATAATTAAGACAGGAGGCAGAGCCAAAAAGGAAAGCTATTATTATGGTGAAAGAAATTCTGAGGAGGTTGTTAGTTAATGGCAGAAAATGTTTACTAAAAAGAGCTGTAATTACTAAGCCGAATAATCTGGGAAAATACAGTAATGGTACTTTATGATGTTTGAAGTTGTATTGTTTTGTTTTGTTCAAGAGTATGTCTCTGCTCTAAACAATAGTTAATATGTAGGCTATTTCTTGAGTATTATCAACAGTTTTGATAAGGGGCACTTTTTTGTTTGTTTTTATAGGAGTGTATATAGTCTTTCTTCTCTCCATTCTCTTGTACCTCAAGTCAAAATACTTAAAAAAATAAATTCTAGCCATTTCACTTGGAATAAGCAATGTATTTAATCTCTTTGTTGTATTTTTTCCTCTTAATACAACAATAAAACTAATTCTGAATGCTTAAAGAAGGTTTTGTGCTTTTGTAATACTATATTTTATTTTGATAGTTTTTATTTTAATGGCACTGCACATCTTGAAAAGATCTGGTGATAAGAAAAATACAGGGAGCTGCCACCTGGAATATGATAAATGCAGATAAAGCTCCATTGATTTAGCATGGATCAGGCTATTCTCTATTACCTCAGAACTGTCCTTTGTCTTCTTTTTATACTGTTTGTTCAGGATACCCCTGGTATTCACTTGATCTGCTTCAAAATTCTTATGCCAGTTGGTCTCTGCTAAGTGGCATAATCCATGACAGCTTCAAGTAACTGGGGTGCACCAGTTCCTTATATGTAAAAGTTATAGAGTAAGAGTTCTCGTGTCTCACTAGAACCTTGGACCATCAGTGCATGAGGTTTTATTTTTCCCTCTAAATCATTGGACACATACAACAAATATTCTTTATTTTTGTTTTCTGCAGATGACTGCTAATGATTGTCAAGACCCTCCAAAGTACTGGACAATACATGGGCTGTGGTATGATCATAGAGGGTTTTTATTTTAGCTGGGAAAAGAAAAATCAAATATTGTACCAGGATGTTTGGTGGCTTGGGTTTTTGTTTGTTTTTGTTCGTTCGTTTGTTTCTGTCTTAATCTATCTGTTCTTATGATTCCTTGAAACAAAATCAAAACCCTGTGGTTTGGCATAAAACTGAAAATCATTTCTGTATCTCATGACTTGCTGAGCTTCTGAAATCCTCTTGCCACATGATTATTTTATTTATACGTCTCCTTATGAGATCAGTAATATTTTCAAACAGAAAGGAAAGTATAGTTTACCCTCTTTTTTTTTTGTACACAGAATTTGTTAATATCTCATGACTGCTTGTGGCTTTAATTATCCTAACTCAGTACTAGTATTGCAAAAGTGTAGGAAAAACCAGTTTGTTGCAAAGGAATCAAGTCACTGGAATTGGTGCCAGTGGCAGTAGTTCAAAAGTTTTCCTGACAAATACACGTAAAAAATCAGTACAGGAGTTTGTTAAGCTATGACTAGTGCCACCAGTGATGTCACATACAAGGTCCCTCCATATTGCTGACACACCAATTTGACTTGTATGCAGAATGAGAGGGACTGGAAGGCCAAAGAAACAACTTCTTAATGAAAAATCTTTTGGCCGTAATTAATGTCTTGAATATTTTATTTCTAAGCCACTGTAGATTCTGATGAGTTACTTGTATTTTTAAGTAAATTCTCCAGCTGTAATCCTGCATATTTAAAATTCTGGCCAATGATACAAAATAGAATGCTGTTTGTCACATTTAGTGAGTAAGGAGACAGCTTTTTTTACTTTTTTATTTTTTGCTTCCCCAGGCCTGACAAAGCTGAAGACTGTAATAGGACATGGCATTTCAATGTCACTGAGATTAAGGTATGTATTTAAAACAAAAACAAATGTACCAAGCAGAGCTGACTGCAATTGCTTCTGCACATCCTACGTGCAAAATCTGTAGCTTATAATGTTTCACTCTTAATGTTTGCTGAGAGGTATGGGTTTTTTTAAGGACTCCAGAAATTCATTAGGTGCTTCTGGTACAACTTGAAGTTGCAGTGCTTGTGATCATTAGCAGCTGTGCCTACTCAGATTTTGTGGACATGTAGTTTGACTCATTCAGTCATATCCTCTTATCCACATACACAATGGATCTGCAGTGGCAAAAAGTACCTCTGAAAGAGATTACAGTCAGTTGATGTTCTCTCTACATTTTCTACTGCACAGCCAGAACTTAGAAAATAAAAGAGTTAAGAGTACAGTGTTCTGTATGTCTTCTCCTAGGCAATTAGTCCTTTTAGGTTCTTTTTCTGATTAAAACAAATCCATATTTCACTCACGTGTTGTAAACAGAGATAAGAAATTTGAGCCGACAAATGTGAAAAGCTGCATGTTTGAACAATTTCTGCAGGGACAGTTGAAGGAAAATCTTACTTTGAGGCAGTGTGTCAGTATAAGTGCGTTCAGATATTTAGGCAGGTGTACCTATCTGTTGTCTCTCCCACAACAGCATTTTCAGAATACTGGGGAAAAGGACCTTTTCTTTTTCTGCACAAAATGTTTCAGTTGGGGATGTTGAAAGATAAGGCTTCAGTTATAGAAAATTTGTTAATGTATGTAGATTGTGTAAGACATAGCTTTTCAACACTGTAGGTGCTTTTATTAACTGTGATTTTTTAGGATCTAATGTCAGACATGAGACACTATTGGCCTGATGTGCTTCATTCGTCACTGAATCGCACCCAGTTCTGGTGAGTATAAAAAAAACAAACCTAAAAAGCATTTTGGATATTATTTTATAAAAAATCTATCTGAGTAGTTCTTCAGCTGAGATGTGTACGAGAAGCAGTGTCCAGGAGGCAGTGTGTCTTGTGAGTTTCATTTAGCATATAAATCTTTTTTCTTGTAAAATGCAGCTGTTGAAGAGAGGGCTATGGCAGAAGTTTTGGAGAAATGAAACTTAGTGAGGAAATGTTTCCTCCCTTAGTCCCCAGGGAAGAGAAACAGCTGCTGTCAACACAATAAATCTGAACAGCAGTAGCTCTCTGGGATGTCACAGCTAAGCTGCAAGAGAAGCTTCCAGGTCTCCTTTCCTAGCTAGATTCACTGTGTTGCTAGCCTTGGGAGAGCTTTTCTTCTGGGCTTCCTCACAGAGGAGGAAATAGAAAAATAGAATGCACCGTATCATCCTAACTGTATTCCTACAGAATTCTCTCCTTTTACTTACTTTCCTAGCAGCCTAAAATCTGGGGATTTTAGGGAGCCTGGGGGATTTATTTGGAGATCAACCTGCTTGACTCATGGGAAGGGAGAAGGAGATTTTTCCTTTCTTGCTGTTTTTCTCTTGGCTTCTGAATAATCAGGCACTTGGACCAGACAGTGGTATTGGTGTATTTTAGTTTGCACAGGCTTTGATTCAAGTGCTTTGTTTTAAACTAAAATCATCGACCATGCAAGTTTGCTGAGCCATGAGCTGCACCAGCCAAGGTATAGATATGCAATTTGTTTTTCCAGAGCTACAGTGAAAGCGGTAACAACAGATAAGAAGCAGAGCAAATAGCTAGGGGCAGTAACATTTAAAGCTGTCTCAACTAGAAGTGCCTGTAAGTTTTCCTTTTAATTGGATGACTGTTTCTTCCCTATGCCACTAGGGAAAAGCTTTGAAGGGAATGTGCAATTCTTCTAGTGTTGTCCTTGCTCTACAGAAGACACTGGTCCTCAGAGTCTTAAATTAGTCCTAGAAGTATCTTATGGCAACCTAAAGTTGCAACTGTCAAAAGTGGTGGTCTCGCTTTTTTTTCCCTCTAGTCCTCTCTTCTTAAACTGTGCTGGGAGGGAATGACTCCTGTGTGGTAGCACAGATTTATGCCACTTTAAACTGTTCCTGGAATTAGAATAAGAAAAATATTTTGATTGACAGAGTAATTTACTCCCTATCACAAGTGCACTGTAATTGGAAGCTATAACTGCAGATTTTGTAAATGCAAGCTTTTAAGCGAACTGAAAGTCAGTAAGGGCCAACTGTACATCTCTCTTCAGTTAAAATGCTATGTTTACTTAGAAATTAAAAAAACCCCACCAAAACCAAAACAACTCTATGGTGTAAAAATCATGCTACAGTAGAAATGAGAATATGAAAGTAAAACTGACTATTCATGATTTTCACTGTTGTAAACTAAAGTCATCTTAATTGGGTAAAGACCACGAGCAATGACAAGCAAAACAGGGATTGAATATCTTAGCATATCATATCAGGGTTTTCCCGAGACTGCTGTAATTGTGCAGTATGTGTCTTCCTGGCTTCACCTCTAACTGCAGCCATGGCTTAAAAGGGGAGGTAAGGAATCTTCCTGGTGATTTGAGGATGGCTGTGGGTACTTCTGTAAAGGTAATGGCACATCTCTGTTCACCTTGTTAGCTTACAAACTGTGAAAATTGTCATCCAAGAGCTTGAATTGGGCAGGATAAAATGCCTTAATATAGGAAAAAGACTAATGTGTGCTTTGTATCTCAAAAGTAGTTAACTGAAGCCGTCCCTTATATGGTAGTTAATATTTTTTGGACCAAATAAAAATTTCTAGAGCAAAAGAATTCCCTTCAGGATGGTTTATACTTAGGTATATGATATAGAAGAAGGAATCTGTGTTTAACCTATTGGACAGCTGAGTGTCCTCAGTCTTTTAGATTTTGTGGGCAGCACTTGTAGCTGTGTTTTACACACCTTCTTTGTTCCTACTCTAATAATGAGGCAGTCTTCAAGCTGGATGGTTTCTCTAATCCTTGGACACACCTGATAAGCTCCTGACTTTGTCACATCTGCATGACTTTGTTCTTCAGGGAGCTCTGTCCTTGTTGTACAAAACAGGAAACAAAATCTCTTTGAAGTTCACCTTCTTTTCCACACATCTGAGTTGTACCAGTTTCATTTCTTTGTACTTCCTCAGCTCCCTGAGACTTAATTTATAGAACTTTATCTCTGAGACAATGCAAGTGTAACATTTATCCTTAGAAGCACCATAGAGAAAATATGATAACACAGTGGAACCCAATCTAGTGCTGTAAGCCTCACTGCTGTGTACCTGCCAAAGCACCCGTGTCCTACAGGGAGGAGAAATGTTCCATGAAGTTACTGACAGTAGGCATACATACTCTGTGCTACTGCCTGTCTCACAGGTGCAAGAGTTGCAGACGGATGGTGGCCTTCATGAACACTGGTAGCTGTGTTCTGTGTCCACATGCCACGCAGCTGTGAGCTGATGTTCAAGTAGAATTAGCTGGTCATATTGCGGTCTAGGTGTGTCTCAGTGAGTAGCATTGAGACATTATTTCTTCTGATTTCTAAACAAACTATTTTATGTTATTCCCTGGTACCTGCAGCTCCTTCATTTCCTAACTACTTCAGTTTGCTTTTAAAAGGAAGAGGTGAGGATGGAATTTCATATGCCTATGCTGAATGTCAGAATTAGCTGCATCTGCATAATTATTTCTGTTCTTTTTTTACATGGCTGTGCTGCAAAATAAAGTAGCACTGTGAAGAGTGATTTGAAATTTGAAAAGGAAGAACTGAAAAAAAAAGACACCCACCTGAAATCCATAGGCAGTCTTATTAAAGATCATGCTGTTTAGTCTTTCAGTAGACTTTAGAATTGATAGAAATATATGTTTAGCTTTTACCCATTTTTTGTCCTATTTGAATTTGTTTGCCATAACTTTGTAAGAGTTTCTCTCTTTTACATTCTGTTCCTTGCTATTAAAGGAATTGATAATGGGCTAGGAACAAGACTTTAGAGCAGGCCTATGAAAATACTGCCACAGGCCAAAGTAAAAGTTAATGCTAAAGTCTTGTTCTTAGCAGCTTTTGCAGTTTCACTGTTCCACCCAGAGTAAGGCTTAATCCTTTGAGTTATGAAAAATTTTTGCTGCTTTGAAAGTGCATTTGATATAAAAGACTCACAGAATCACAGAATATGCTAAGTTGGAAGGGACCGACAAAGATCATCAAGTCCAACCCTTAGCTCTGCACAGGACCATCCCTAAGAGTCACACCATCATCCAAACGCTTCTTAAACTATGTCAGGCTTGGTGCTGCGACCACTTCCCTGGGCAGCCTGTTCCAGCAAAAAACTTCTTTCTCGTGTCCAACCTAAACTTCCCATGGCACCACTTCAGGCCATTCCTCAGGTCCTGTCACTGGTCACTAGAGAGAAGAGATCAGTCTGCCCCTCCTCTTCCTCTTAAGAGGAAGTTGTAAACTGTGATGTCTCCTCTCAGTCTCCCCTTCTCCAATCTGGACAGACCAAGTGACCTCAGTCTTGACTGAAAAATAAAACGTTTAGAGATATTTGTTTTCTAGGCAAATTCTTGCCATTCTGACCTCCAGACATCTCTTTGAAATACACTGGGAGATCGTTGTTTCCTAAGAGCATGATACATATTTACTTCATAGTATTTGGATGTTGCTATAATTGAAATGGTGAGAGTCATCTTTCTTGGTTTTGCTTTTTACATGTGTGCTATTTTTGTGGGCAGTGTCTACTTCCCATGTGTAGCCTTTCAGATACTTGATTTAAGTATAATGAATAGCTTGCACAGCATATATATCTCCAAATAATGTTTTCTAAAATTTAAGTTTTGCTTTTATCTTATAGGAAACATGAGTGGGACAAACATGGCACTTGTGCAGCCACACTTGAGGTCCTCAATTCTCAGAAAAAATACTTTGGTAAAGCCTTAGAACTCTACCAGCGTGTTGATCTCAACAGGTACATAAATGAACTTAGTGATCTGCCTTTTATTTCAAACAGTTTCTAAAAGTTTCAAATCTAGCCAAAATGAAAGTCTAAATCTGATGGCAGAAGGAAAATTAGTGTAAATTACTTTTAGTATTGACATTCAGAAGAAGGGTTGTGTACTCTGAGAAGCATGTCTCTGGTCACTTCAGAGTTTGGTAAACCAGCACCATCTTCCACAGCATCATTTTATACAATGTGAGCCAGTAGATTTTTGAGAAGTTATGTTGGCTGTATCTCTCTACCAAAAGCTGAGGTACCTGTAGACTTCTAAATTAAGTGATGAAGCTGCCCACACTACTGAGTCATACTGAGGCCCAAACACTTGTTTTTAAGACAGTGCTCTGCTCAGAGAAGAGAAAAAGCTGCAGGCAAAATTGTGCAGAACATCCTGGAAAAAGGCTGAGAGGTGACAGCAAGAGAGGCTGTTCTGAAGGGCAGTGTTCAGCTGCTGCAGGCAGCCCTCTGCTGTCCTTTCTAACAACCCCGATATGACACTCTTGCTTTGTCCTAGGGGCTGATTCATCCTCATGGTTCCAAAGCACTGGACATTCCAGATTCAAAATCTTGATGGGAATGTTGTGGCTTGTCCAAGCACTGTAGGTATGCGTTCTGGCTGCAGGTGAATGCCAGAAAGCGTCTTTTCCTGATCAGTGCTTGGTATGGATGAGAGAATGTTTGACTTAGATTTGTTGGCCATGGATTGTCTATCTGTGTAAGTGGCCATTATCTGAGAGAGGATATTGTTTTCTATGTAAAAACATACCTTAAAAAAAACTCAACAAAACAACCCAACAAAACAAAAAAATCCTGATTATGTTCTATCAGTGTCTTGTCCAAGAAATCTCCTAACCAAAGTCTCATTTAGCTTTTGCATGTGCACAAAGGAAATAAGTCTTTCTTCCCTCCATTCTTGTAGGTGTATTTTAAAAGCAGATTTCTCTAGACATGGTGCTTAAGAGCGTGTCATATATAGTGTTAAAATTAATAATATCTGATAAGCCACTTGCCTAAGTTAGCTGTGATGGTGTGACTAAAACATGTACAGATGGCACAGTGACCGTTTATTTGACTCTGTATCAGCATGTGCAACACTGCAGAAGAATAGAGACTGAAGCATGTTGAAATTAATTGCTCAGAGCTTATTATCCATTGTAAAAATGAATATAATTAATGTTATCTTTACTGAAAAGAATGAAGACTGTCAGTGTTCTCACAGTATTTCATTTATACTTAAATGAGAAAAATTAATGTTAGTGATTTAAAAAATTGTTTCCAAAAAGCAAATTATTAAAAAGAGGACATCATGCAGGCTTCTGTAAGAATTAACAGAAGACTGTCTATTTTATTGACCTCCTTATATCCAGTGTAAAATGACAACATAAAACAGCTTGTCCTTTAGTCTGTTGCGTAAAATCTTCCCTGTGCTGAACCTGACCTTGGAAGGATTGAGCATTATCAGCACATATGAATTAAATTCTGCAAGATACTGACCATAGCCACTCCTTAGAGAAAAAGCTGGGACACAGAGACTCATCACATTTTGGGTCCTGAGTCTTGTCAGCTTGGAAACGTGGACTCCTCTCAGGACTGAATCCAAAGGAAGGGGTATACAGGCTAAAGGTTTCTGAGTGTTCCCTCGTTCCTCTTACGTTAACAACTTTCCTAATAAATATGTTTTTGAAAAGAAAACATTTCTGCCCTGACATTAATGTTGATCCAGATTCACACACCATATCCCTCTCCCAGTGTGCTCTGTGCCTCCCACCCCAGCAAGCCCACCCAGTGTTCAATTATGAGGGGGCCCAGAGCAGCCTCACTTGGTCTGCCTCTGTCTCCTCCTGGGGGTAGGAGCACAGAGTTGTTTCAAGGCAAGGGAAAGAAGGCAATTAAACTGCATGCCCTACCTGGCACTGAACGGAGCACTGTGCCAGTCCCTAGCAATACCTGAAGGCTCAACTATCCCAGCTGCTCAGATTCAGGTGGGGGAGAGGGTTATTCCTGACCCTGCTGAGTTAGGTGGAAAATGGCCTTTTAGAGAAGAGGAACCTTTTCTAGGCCTGGTAAAGAATGGAAGACAAGTTGCTCTTGCTACATGTCACTGTAATGCCAGGTTCTCCTTATCTGGTTTACCTAATGATTATGAAGGTATGTTTGCAGAAAACATGGAAAAATGTTTTATCTTTGTTTCAGTTGTCTCTTGAAAGCTGGGATAAAGCCAAGCAGTTCGTATTACAAGGTAAGAGGTGATCTTTTACAAACCAAAATCATGTGCATGCACTTTTTTCAGCAGGAGTCAACTAATTTCTATAGAACAAGCGATCTTTCTAAAATTGTATAGTTTTTTAAGGTTGTGCTTTTCCTAAAAGTTTACGTGAGCTTAATAGGTGTGGGAGATGTTGGAAGATGCACTTGTGACTTATTAATCTCTATAAGCTTTTTAATTTTTCAGATGACTACCATAAAGGAAGCTCTTACAAGATTTTATGGTGTAACACCCAAGATCCAATGCCTTCCTCCAGAAGAGGTAAAAACCCCAAACAAACAAACACTCACTAAACTTTCTGAAATGGAAAAAAAACCAAACCAAAACAAATTTTTTTTAAGCATTTTTATTAAAAAGAAAAAGGCAAAAATAGAGTAAAAAAAAAATCTTCAGTATGGTGAAACTTAGGTCTAGGTGTTCCTTGTGTATGCATCTCTTTGCAGTTTAGATATTGGTTGATTCTTGGAGTTGAGCTCATAAAAATGTTGCTTACATACTGGCACCACTTAGTTCAGCTTATATTATTGTTACCACAGTCTTTTCTTAATGTAGAAATATTGTTACTGCAGGAAGTCGCCATTCTTTACTTACTACCTTTGCAGTTAGGATTCTTACCCAGAAAGTGGGAGCACTGGGTTTTAAAGGTTGCTTTGTCTTAAAAGACTTAAACGTCTCCTCTGTGAATGCTGTAACCACCATGCTAGAGGTGTTGCTGTAGCTGAGCACTTTCCACTCCACCTGCTAAAGCTTAATAACAAATTAACTAAAGCCAACAAGAGTGTGTTACTTGAAGCAACAAAGGAATATTAGTTGAATATCACCCGCTTTTTGTTTTTAAAGAAATACAGAGCTAACACCAACCCCAGTTTCTCGCCCTGTTCACTGTAGTTCTGCCGTTGCTTTTAGAACAGTTGGGATACTGCCCCAATTATGTGAAAGTAATTTACAGCTTGGGTCTCCTGTGCTTAACAGCTGAAGGTAATGGGTAAGAGAAATTTAAAAGTACATCCCAGTTATTTAAAGATAACTCTTTTCAGAGTTTCAGCCTTGTCCATGCCTGAAGTGCAGGATGGAGGTACTTTGATGTTTGAAACATATTGCACCCTTGCTGTTCTTAAGTTTCTCTAAAAAAAAAAAAGGAAAACACAAAAAAAACCCAAAACAAGCAAAACCATCCCAAAAACACTACCCCAAACTAACAACAAAAAAACCCTCACCACAGTTAGTTTTGTCTTGTACATACGTTTTGTCCTGCTTAATTGTTTTGAAACTAGTCTTTTTATACATAAACTTCGTTAGACCTGAGGATTTAGGGGGATTTTCATGTAATCTTTTTGCCACATGAGAGGCCACTGCACCTTCCTGCTTTATTCATGAACAGTATTTTTCTTCTTAGCCTGTCCTTTAGTCCAAAAATGACATTTCTGCTCCTTTTGACAGCTTGGTTTTGTATTCTCTTCAGTAAAAGCTATTATAAAACTGAGTTTCTTTTCTGGCTTTTGGAGAATTTTTATTTGTTTCAGTTCTTGTCCTGCCATGTGCCCTTCGATATTCACGGAGCTGAGCCAGAGCTCGTCATTAAGGTGAATTGCTTCTCTACACTTCTCTCCATGAAGCTGATCTTATCCCTCATGTTTCTAGGGTGAAAAAGCACAGACAATTGGCCAGATTGAATTCTGCTTCACCAAAGAACTGCAACTAAGAAACTGCACGGCACTGAAGGGTGGATCCAACGCAATGCAGGCTCCCTTGAAGCTTGGAACTGAGGAGCTGTCTGTCTGCAATGATACTCTCCCAACCTATTATCCTTCAGAGGTCCAAGATCACAAATGAGGCTGTAATAGTTTGAAAAACTTTTTAAACAGCAAAAAAAATTGTAATTATTGTAATATTACGACCCCCTGTCCATATCACAGGCATACTGTGAAGACTGCTGGAAAACACAGTTCTTTTGCCATTAAATGAGAATGGGCCACATGATGGGATCAGAATCTGATTTATAGCTTTGTCTGGCTTTTTTTGCCTGCTTATGGTTTGAATCAATGTTCAGAAGAGAACTGTGACTTTATTTCTCTTGCAGTTAAGTCTGCCACTTTAGCCACTTTTGGTGTTTACCAATGAGTCAGGGAAATTTTGTAATTCTTTGTTTTGAAAGGATGATTGTCTCTCTGAGATGAGATGACAATTGCTTGAGAAGAAAATATTGTAAACAAAAAGAACTTTGAGGCCTGTCTGGAAATCCATTCCCAGACATAATACCTACCTATGCCTTGCATAAATTTGCTCTCCAGAAGTGCAGAACAGAGACATTGTTCTCTGAGGTGTTAAACCTTTCCTCACTCAGGGATCACAGCTGACCGAAGACAACTTTTGTATAACTTCTTAGTGAAGTGAGGTTAAGTTCTCCAGGTCTGGGTTTTTCTGCCTGAAAGACCCCAGGAAGACTATTCTTTGATTATTTTTGCAAAGTAGCTCCATACAGTCTTGAGGAACAACCAACCTTAGAACGTAATGCTAGTATAGGAAAATTTTAGGCCCTAGAAATGTGTTGTTATTACTTTTTTGTTGTATTTGAACATTTAGCATTATACACAAGTGTGAGTGTCTGCACTTTTATATAAAAATGAGATTGTTGTGTAATTGCTTTGTTCCAAGAAACAGCTTGTTACAGGTGAAACAATAAATACTACAGGATTTTCAGTAAAAAGTACAAATGTTGGCAGTAATGCATCTCTACTCCATAATGATCAGTAACATGACACAAAATTGGGTGTTTCCAAAGGAGACCAAACTTCAGTGACATCCTCTACACCGTGCTGTGTTGTTCTGTCTGTCTCAAATTGTCTTTCAGAGGAAGACACTTACGGCTCAAGGAACCATCTGTTAGAAGAATATTACTGTGAAAACATGAAATGCTTAGAAACAAATTTTCTGAGAAAGTCTTAGAAACAAATTTTGAGTTTCTGGGGAGTTTAGAAACTATTCACATTTACTCTCCTTTTTTACTGTCCCTATTTCTCTACCACCTTTCATTTAACTCTCTGTTACCTACCCATTACAGAATGCTGTCAGTTTTTTAGTCTTTGGTACTTGCAGTATAAAATTTATTTTCTTTTATAATGCCAAATAATACCTAGGGAGAGAAAATATACAGTATCAACTCTCCGCAGTTAAGGTGTAGTGCATTAATTTAAATTGAGGAGAGCCAGTAACTCCAGGGACAAACTTTACAAGGAAGTGACACAGACACTAATAGCCTGCTTAGTGAGAGGCTCCAAGGTAAAGCTGACTCTTGCCGAAGGGAGTCAGCAGATTCACACAAGAGTCACAAATGACCAACCTCTGCAGCAGAGTAGAAAGTATGGCTTCCGTGCATTTTTTTTTTTTAGCCTTATTTTCAAATGCAAGAAATGTGAGGGAACTGATAAGTTTTAAAACTTTAAGGAGAAAAGAACATAACATAACCCAAAATGAGGGAGGGAGGCAGCATGCTAAACAACAGCTTGAAACTGCATAAGTGACTGATGAAAAGTAAGGGTTGGCTAAAAATAACCTCACAGACTCCAAAGTTCTGTTTAAAGGGACATACCTGAAGTACTGCATTTGCCTTAAAAAAACCACACCCAATACTTTTTATTTTGCCAACATTATTGCTACTACTAATAAATTAACCATAGCAAATTTAAATATTTAATGTGTAATAAAATACTATATATGATTACCGTTGCTTGGGTTTTGACAGTCTCACCAGCCTAACTTCTAGGAAGATACAAATGTCTTTTAAAAGCTACTGACTGATTTTTATACAGGGATGTGCCAAGACACTATAATGTTTCAAGTGATGTATTTAAGGGATGCTTCAAGGGCTATGTCTGCATGTGGGCAACCAGTAGAGCAGATGAATGAATGCTGACACCCCTTCAGACCAAAGATCACGTCCAGCCCTTTATGTTCCCTCTAACCATGGCTCTCAGCCAGTTACGAGCCTTGTAAATCACTTTCCATCAAAATGTATATAGTTTCAAGAGTTGGATTAACACAGTTTAAATACAAGAAGAAAACAAAGTTATATTAGGAACCATAAAAATCAGTTCTGAAAAGTGTCATTCACTTCCATAAGTAATATCATCAGACTTGAAAATTCAGCACAGCCTGAGGGTGATTTGGCCTATATTCTTTTCTGCATCATTAAATAAACTGACTAAATTCCAGCAGAAAGGTTGTTCGCACAGTCTTGGTGGTTTAAAACACTAGTCAGCTCTACAATGGGATTTAGCTTGTTTATACCCTTTGTCTGTCTACTCTCTCGTGGAAAATGCTTAAGCATCCCTTGGCATGTAGATTAGAGCATTCCAAGGACAGCCACTCTTCCTGGAGCATGGGCAGGTCCTTTTCTCTCTTTTCTGTCTCTCCTCATGGCCTCACTGAGCCTTTTTCAGTTGCACAGGAGCCCAGCTTCAGCCAAGTTTATGGGGGGTGGGGCGGGAACAGATTGGAAAATTCAGCTTCTCCTGAGTTTCATTAGGTAGCTACCCACGTGCATGTGTATTGTGCTTAAGGGCACATCTGTCTCTTCCTACCGGCAGCCACCTGATCTGCCACTGCCAACCACAACAGGAGATGGGAGAAGCGGGGTGGGGGGACTTCTCCCCATCACTCCCACTCTTAGTGGGGGCAGCAGCTGGTTGCCATGTCCCAGCTGACAGGCAAAGCTACCTCTGCAGGCTGAAACAGAGGTGGCACAGGCCTCTGTCTGTGTCCCTACTCTGCACCCTCAGTGGCTGGAGAGCGCTGGGCCATGCTGCTGGCCCCAGCTGCTGCCCATTGGAAGGAAGAAAGTGGTGGCAGGATTGTAGTGCCAACTCAGCATGTCAATATACTGCAAATCAAGTTCCACAAATGGAGACAGGCTAGGCATCTACAGCAGCACATGCTTTACTTTTATAGTGGGAAAGGGAGATTTTGACAGGAATGGATTCTTGAATTTGGGCACCTCTGTTCTGGTGTGGTGGTGCTTCAGTCAGCTGTGTTCTGTATCTGTCTCTAAGCACCATTAAGCCAAGGCCCTAGATGGTTAATGATGCTGCTAACAGCATTATTGATGCCTGATGATGGTACTGATGATGCAAAGGAAAATTGTCAGGACTTTGCAAGTCACATTCCTAGGAATGGAGCAATCGATGATGAGGAATGTTGTACTTATTCTAAATTCAGATTGTCATGCTGCTAAGGCAGCTTCCTTCACAAGGGTCACTGCATGCCTCCCATCCTTCTAAGTATTCCCTACTCCAAGAAGTTGCCATAGAGTTGATGCAAATAATGTTTTAGAAAGGATTTAAATTTCTTGTGCTTTAAAGAAGAAGAGCTTTAGTATACAGGCTAAGTGAGACCTGATGTGGGAGATGGGCAGAGTATTTTTGTGTGTGTGTACTGTGATTTTCTTTATTCCTTACCTCAAAATAAATTGGAGCATCACAGACTAGATGAGGATTAGATAGAACTCTGGGGCAGCCAAGCCCAACCATGCTCACAGATTGGTGGAACAAAATCTATCAACATACTCAGCATGAAAATCTCAGCACTGACATCCCTACACAGTGCTTAGTCTGAGACTGATATTTTAGTAATCTTCTATAAAAAAGAAGGAAAAATTACCACGTGATAAGAATTTTAAGGAAGTATCGTAAAATTCTTAAGGAAGTTGAAGCATACCAGGGTGCTATCTGTAAGAAATACTTTTCTGACTACAGCCTCATTTACCAGAGAAGAGGCTGTTCACTTAAGTTTCTTCTATAACTCACACAGTTGTTTGCGCTAGAGACCCGTACTCTGCATGTAAATCAGAGGAGACGAGCCAAAACAAAATTAGCAAGAGCTAAGAGCACAGCAGTTACCTTGTAATAATTACAATCTCTCTAAACAAGTATGATGCATCCCAGCAGTTACCCGAGGTTAGATCACTTATTTCTGCTTAGCATTGTTGAGTAAAGCTTCCTGCTGTCAGCCTTGAAGAGGTTTCTCTCCGAAGTACTCAGCTGAAGGTGAAGAAGCTGTGCATACCTGTAGCAGAGATTGGAAAAGCTGTCATGTCACCTGACTGCTGTCATTTTAGCCCATCAGCCTTCCACAGATCCAGCTCCCTTATTGAGATTTCACAGGTTATGATCATGTCCGGATGACTTGTGCTATCAGTTTCCAGTCCTGGCTGTTGTGGGCTTGTGTTGAAAAGAACATTTTGAAGGAGCTGTCCCACCTCATAAACCATGATTTGCAGATGCTTGCCAAAAGCCTGGGGTATGCATTTGTCAAGGATTTATTAGCTAGGAGGCTGGCTGACTAATGCGTGAAGTGGGAACCACTTTGTTGTCTTCCAGGCTCTCAGATGTTACAGGCTTAGAATACTAGTATCCTACTGAGGCAGTTGTTTTATACATAACAGCTGGCCCTGACTTATTTTTTATCCTTCAGCCCCTGCATATCTTCAGAGATTTCAGTCTTGCAGTTTCTGTGGGATTCAGTGAGCAGCTTGTCATTTCTGAAGCCTACTGCATGATAATCACTGTAACAAAATAGCTTTGGGACACAAACTACCCTCTCATCTCCAGTACCTCATGCTGTTTTCTCTTTAATTCCCTTCATTATCCTCAGTGACTTGAGGGATGAATGGATCACGCTCTTTGATCTCACAGGGTAACCAAACTATTTAGGCATAGATATTGTACCTATCTATGATTTTGAGGGATTCTGATTGCAAGGATCACTGGAGTTCTGGAGAAAGGTAGGCGTATTGAGGGACAGCGTCTAATCTTTTATGCCTTTGGCACTCTTTTTTTGGCCTGTCTGGCTGATTAACAGGCTTGCTGTCACACTCACATCTGACCAAGAAACAATGTCTCAAAACTTATTAAATCAGTCATTAAATAAGTCTGGGACCTCCACAATTACTTAAACAGAAATTTGGCATGGATAGGTTGGTCTGTCTGGCAGATGGGAGAA